CATGTTGCTGCTTTCCTAATTCATCAGTGTAGGAAAGACCGTGACTTCCGCCATTTGTAAATTTTACAAATGAGTATATACTCATTTGTAAATTTTACAAATGACTATATACTTGTGGTTTGCAAAGGAAAACCTGAGTCGTGTAACAGGGTAGCTTTATTCTGACACCATGTAATGTTTTGTTTTCTGTTTGTTACGATCCCCAGGCAGTGAGTAGAGGTGACTGTGACACGAAGATGATTGCACGTATGTAAGGAGACAGTAATTTTAATACGAATTCAAATTCCAGTCGGGTTCTTTACATTCACTTACGCGTAAATACCCTTGGGAAAGGTATGAATCTATTTCTTTGAAAGCTATGAGTTGAATAGAACTGCAGATTGGGTTGTGTAGTCTTGACTGACAACCAGTCTACCGTAGAAAGTAACTCAGACACTGAGTAGAGGTAACTCTGACCCGAAGATGATTGCACGTATGTAAGGAGAATGTAATTTCAGTCAGGTTCGTTACATTCACTTACGAGCAAATAACCTTGGGAAAGGCATGAGTCCATCTCTTCTTTCCCAGTTATGAGGTGAATAGACGGACAAACTGGGTTCTATAGCCTTGGTTAGCAACCAGTTTATCGCAGAAAAAATGGCAGCCTGGTGCGGTAATATCTTCTGCCTAGTCAGTTATGAATCGAAAGAGACATGATCGCGAAGAGACGAGAGAATTCTAAAATTATAATAATATATAAATTATCTTTATTACTGGACTTATATAATGTCAGTTAGTCAGCGGTGGTCAGCGGAGAAAGACTGTTTCGCTATGCTTGCCAGAAGTCAACACGAAGTTGGTATCAGGGGGAGATAATTCATCTAGTGTCAATTATATGTAACTAGTAATGCCTGACGACCTTCAGATAAATCACAACGTATTAACGTGATTATAAGACTGACACGCTGCTTACTGTGCATTGGAGGCAGCAGAAATTTGGCTCTGCAGAAGGATATTGAAAATTCCATGGACGAAGCCAGTAAGCAACGAGGAAGTCTTAAAGAAAATGGCGACAAAAAGAAGGCACACTCAGAATCAGGAAGAGACAGCGGAAATTTCTTGAACACATAAGGAGGAAGGATGGTTTGGGAAACTTAACACTCACAGGGCATGTTGAGGGCAAGAGAGATAGTGGAAGGCAGCAAGCCACCTACCTTGCGAACTTTTGTGAATGGATGGATGGATGGCTGAATGGGAGAGGAGCTAAGGAATAGGAGGTTGTGGAGAGCCATAATCGCCCGTGTCCTGAAGGAACGAGGCACATAAAAGAAGAAGTAACACCACGCCGTTGCAAGATGGTTAACATAACAAGCTTGTCTCAATTTGCTAGTGCAATGACTTCAGTCCACATTGGATTATTTCGCTCCTGTAGTCTAGTGCGAACTTAAGCTAAGCTTCTCGAATTACTGATATATTGATTGACACTTACAGAGAATATTTTGTTATTATCTTTCTAGCAGTACACATGGTGCGGGATAGCTAGGCGTAGGTTCAAGCACCCTAAAAATATTTCCCTTGAATTTTGTCCGTTTGAAAATCAACGTCTAACTTCTATGTCGTCATCCAAATATTTCCCCTGAAATATCACATGCTGTTTGGTCGAGACAATTAATTTAGTTTAAAATCATTTAAGGCATCACAAACCACAAATATCTGCTTGACTCTATTGTGTGAGCCTCTGGAGGTTATTGTAGAATGTTTGTTTTTACATTGAAAATGAATGAACGCTTAGTAAACGTTGTTTCAGGACGTGTATACTGGGTCTTTGATCTTTTGTTTTGGTACTAGGTCTTTGATCTTTTGTTTTGGTACTGGGTCTTTGATCTTTTGTTTTGCTTATCCAAATATCTGGTCATTAAGAATGCCGCTGTTAATATTAAAGAGATGTTAAGTAGACGATATTTTTCAGTAGATTTAATTGTATCCTTCTTGTGCGTCAGAGTTCGTAGCTGGCGGTACGTTGTAACAGAAAGAGAGAGAGAGAGAGAGAGAGAGAGAGAGAGAGACCCTCCTCCTTTGTAGTCTTAGTTCTTTGATGTTGAAAGGAGTGGACCCGCTTGTCCCGTTTTCTGTTGAAAGTATAGAGAGAACTGGCCTCGAAGCCTACTTTTTCTGGGCTTATATTGTGGTCGGAGAATAAGGTGAATGTGAGTAGGATTGTCCTTCGCTTTGGTACGAGGTCTTTGATCTTTTGTTTTGCTTATCCAAGTAGCTGGTTTAAGAAACGAAACTAGCTAATTGACCTGTCTTTAAGCATGCTAGTTATTAAGGTGTTATGGAGATGATAAGTATCTGATAGTTTTCAAGGGGATTTAAGAGATATATTATTTTATTTTATTTATTAAACTCTACCTGCTACTACAAGTTCCCTGTGTTGAAAATTTGAGAAAGAACCGAGAACATTGGTAGAACAGCACTGCTGAAAATAACCAGAATAATAAGAAAGCTTTCTAGTCTCTCATCACCAATAACGACCAGACACTTCTCTCATCACGGTGAATGGGTTGAACGTCTATTTGTACACAAGTTAACACCAGACCTCAAGTGCAACTCATATATAGAACCCCTTGCTAAAGAAATTTGCTGGTTCATTTTATCACCCCATAAAGTACCTGACTCTTTACAAGAATCAGATCAGAATTAAAAGAATATTTTTACTATATGTATTCTGGAGCTGACAAATCCTCGCTTCCCAGCCTTGAGGGAGTTCAAAATCGTTTACACTGTCTTGTTGAAAGGAGAGGGAATAACGTATTTTCCGCCCTGCAACCCCTCTCCTCACAGACATAATGTCGGAAGTATATTAATATTCTATCGTTACTTCCATGGAATATTTCAAATGAGCTCCATTCTTTAGTGCCAACAGACCTTTACAGCCAAGACCCTTTTTGCTACATCCAAATGGTTGAATCGTCCTCATTCTCTACATATTCCTTTGTTAAGAACGATGTCCCACTCAAAAAGCTTCTTCCCAATAAGTGCTACTCTGTGGAACGGACTCCGGAGAGAATGCTTCTTTGAACACTACAATGTTGACCTCTTCAAATCTAAGGTCAATTATTATCTATTCGACATAGGTTCGTAATCTTCACTTCTGACTCCCTTCTCTTACGTTCATATCACATATCTCATTCATTAACCCTCTACCTTGTGCGGCTCTTGAACCTTGGATTCGGTGAATATTAGTATAATTTTTTTATTAATAATAACATAAAGTATTGTGAGAAAAATGAAAAGAAGTTTGGCACAGTTGTACCCATCGATATCGGAGTACTTGGAATAGTCTTTGAAGGCCTTGAACAGAGTTTATAAAAATTGGAATTCTGAAGAAGAAGAAGAAGAAGAAGAAGAAGAAGAAGAAGAAGAAGAAGAAGAAGAACATCGAGATGGCAGTATTACTAAAATCAACTTGATTAACGTCTACTCCAACTCTATACTTCTAACGTCTCCATCTTCAATAGGAGCAAATAAGTTCTCCCACCTTTCAGTTCACACTCCTCCCTGGTCTTTTGAATAGGAATAGAGATTTATACCTTTTTCCGTGTTTAAGATCGGGTTTCCGGTTCATTCTAAGATCTTTTCATTCTCTTTCACCCCGCCCCTAGTAGTCCCTTGCATCTTAGTGGCATTATCGTCTTGCTTGGAGAAAATTGATAAAAAAAAAAAAATGAAGAATATTGAGAAGTCTAAACTATTTCGAACACTTACTGTCACTTAATCTGCAATGAAAAACAAAAGACGCTGCTGGTAAAAAGTGCAAATAAAATAATTATTAATTAATTAGTAAGTAAGTATGTATGTATGTATGTAAATTGACCCTGGTGATTCTCTCTGGAATATTGGGCTACAGCCACACCACACTAGGTATTGCTGTTCCGTATTGAGAAGTTGTAGGGATACAAATGTAAGTTATCTCCCTTTGGTGGAGATGAAGTCACATGGGTCTCGTGACGGCCGGATAGCAATGAAAGTTGTCAGTCAATCAGCTTTAAGGTGTCAAACAGGGTGGTGGTGGTTTTCTTAGTCCATTTCATAGTATATATATATATATATATATATATATATATATATATATATGAAGATGAAACAGAGCTTGATATTTTAATTCAATTTAATTTTTATAAGTTTTTAGCTCCTGTTTTTGAAACATGAGAAGTCTTATGTAGCGATGGAATCATATTTTTAAAAAATAATTATAATTTAGGCCCTACTTATGTATTGAGCACTGTTTTTTTTTTTTTTAAAGATAAACAAAAATACTGTAGAACTTCGGATTATTAAACGTGTTCTTTCCTATTTTTCCATATATTTGCACCCCCCACGCGCGCGCGCATATACATATATATTGTCTGGTTCACACTGTAGAGGTTTATACTTTGTTCATGTTCCTTTTCCGGTTCCTTTTAAAGTATTTTCATTTTCTTTCACTCCTACAAGCCCCTTTGTTTGTATCTTAGTGGCGTCATTGCCTTGCGTGTGCGTTTGTGTGTATTCCTTTGCTTATGTACAGTGTAACCCGGATATAAGAGAGATTTTCTCTGGTCCCAAATTAGAGCCCATACTTACCTAAACAAAATAGACCAAACCCGGATATAGGAGAAACCCGGATATAAGAGACTTCTTCTCCGGTCCCGACAACTCTCTTATATCCGGGTTACACTGATCGTTCTATTTTAAATATTTATAAAGTTTTTTTTTAAGAAATATAAAAGTTTTTCTATCTTTCAGAGAGTTTTTAGATATTTGGTGATAACTTTTTGTTACTTTCTTTTTATTACTTTCTTTTTATCGATTTTTAAGAAATAACAGAAATTGTTATTCGCTTGATGTCCCATTGATCTTTTTTTTTTGACGTCTGTAGTGAAATACAATGTTTAAGGAAGTTACTTCCGGTTCGCGATCCACGTGTTCTTGTCGATAAGTTTGTTTTCTTTCATTTAATCAGTAATTGCTTATAAATTATGGCACTGTTCGAAGTAAAAAGGTAACCGAATTTTATATTTCGTCAGAATTTCATTTGTTTTGTTTACTAGTCTGTAATTTTATCTGCAAGGATTTTGCTAATCATTTTTAACGACAACATTGCATGCGTTGTACTATTGATTGAGAATCTAAAACTTTTAGATAAAAAAAAGTTTAATTTACTATTTTTGTTGGAAAGTTTAGATCTTTAAACATTCCGAGAAATAAGTAGTACGTCAATTTTCAATTATTTAAGATGTTTACAAAGATTTACTGTCCAGGAAGATGACAGGCCTAAAGAAAATATTTTCTTTTTTTTCCATGCACAGAACAAATGATTTTTCTACCTCCGCCTTTTTTTGAACTGTTGTCTTTCAATTTTAGAGAAAATAACGTTTTGATGCTTTAATTCAATGAGATACGATGAGAAAAAAAATATAAAAGAACCCTCATCAATCTTCACTCGTTTTGTCTTTTCAATCCATGGTTGATTTTTTTTTTTTTTTAATGAAAAGCAGATACTAGCAGCATCAACCACCTATTTGATGGTTAAAAGTAAAACCCAGGTTACAAAATTGTTTTCTTTATTTTGTGACCAGGACGTTGTTACTCGTCCTTTCAATTCATTATAATCACTTATTGTTGACTTCTCAGTTTTCACCGTTCCAAACAATTTTTGCGTAAGAACTGAATTACCTCCCTTACATTGTTTCGTGAATTAAGAAGAGGCTTTTAGTTTTAAATTATACTTTTCGGTTGAGATTCATAAAATCTTTCTCTTAAAACAGTTTTCAATGAAAATTGGTTTCTCAAGTTCAGTAACTAGTTCTTGCTCTTTCCAGTATTAATGTGTGTTTCTTTCCTATCCTTTGTAGTGTGGAATGACATCTTGATTATGTTGTCATTTTCCTTTTTGAGTTACATGTGCAATGCATTTTAGTTATTGCTGCTGTTGGCAGTCCTCAAGTGATGTGGTTTCTGCTACTTGGTAATAAGTAATGGCATTGATTTGTGTGTTCACACTGTTTAGTGTAAGTACTTCCAACGATTAACTAAAAAAATCAGCATACAAAAAAAAAAATGCCCCAAACTTAATAAAAACCCAGTTCTATCGACAAAATCTTTATTATTAAGAGGAAAGACCAAAGGACTTACTGATTATTAAATTATATTTTTTTAATCCTTTTTAGAACCTTAAAAATTTTGGTTAAATATTTTGTTTTTCGTGCATCAGTGGGTGACCATAATTTAGCATAGGAAATTTTGGCCTCTTTTTGCAGTGATAAACACATTGATTTTAAGATTTTTGCAAAAATCAGATAATTATGGGATTTTAATGAAGATATATTCACAAAAGATTGAAATTATTTAAAGTTTCTTTTTTAGAAAATCTTGATAAAAACATTATTTCTACATCTGTCATCCACCACTTATTTAATTTTATGAAATTTCAAAGAATTAATTTTTATACTGCTTAATGTTTATATTAATTAGTTAAATGCTGAACTCCTTGGAAAATTTAAATCCGCAATTTTTGGAAAATAGGACCCTACTTAATGAAAATCTGCTTTGAATTGTAAAATAAAAAATACAATAAAACTATGACATTGTTTAATTAGAAAAGCTTTTAATTACTTTTATAAATACAATATATTATGGAGACTATTGTCAAGAAAGAAATGTTTTTCAATGAATAATAAATTTTTACAGGAATTGTTTTCACTGTTTAAAAATTTTGCTTAGAATAATTTATAATGTTTTAAATCTTTTAAATTTCTGTATTAATTTGTAGTGGTTGGATGATATTGCTATTAAGTAGAAACTATGTTTACTAATCATGAATGGAAATGTTTACAACACTTCAGCCGCTCCAATATTTAAAAAGAATTTAAATTTTTTTTGTGTGTATAAATGTGCCAGTTTTTGTTAAATGCAGACGTCCATATTCAACATTATCAGAAAATAAGAGTAATTACTATGGTAAATTTAAAGCCAAAGTACTTAAAATTCAGTATACCTTATTACGGAGAATATTTTCATAAAATTTTAAGATTACTGGGCAGTTAAAAATTATGTAAAAAGGCACTCCCATTATATTCCTCAAGTAATTTTTGCAGATATGTACCCCCATAGAAAAAAAAATTAAACTTCTGACTGTTAATGCCTTAAATAAACACCTACCTCCATGTTAAAAAATGTATTTCTGCAATATTTTAAACTAAAAGTAATATTTGTTCCAAATCAAATTATTGAACTTAATATCAGCTAATACTTCTCAAATAAAGTTTCAGAAAAGTATATTTTATTTTTGAGAGATCTTTTAATAAAGAGAATTACATTGTGATCATCAGTGATTTTTTTTTTTTTTTTAGCGATTTATAAAAAAAAAAAAATCTCCTTCCAGTTAATTTAAATTAGTTTTGAAATGCAGCAAAGTATTTTGCTTATTGGAAATATTAAATTTAATCTATTAGCTTGAAATTAAAACTAAAATAAAAGTTTCAAAAAAGATTTTTCATTTTAACCTTAGGTATCATGTTTTTTTTTTGGAGGTATGTTTTGTAAAAAAATTTCTTTTTAACATTTCTTTCAAATATCTTTGATTTTTCATCAGTAATTAAGCCTTATGATCATGTTACTGTAGGGTATCATTCACTGTTATGTAATAGATCCTAGCCTGTTCTGAGAAATAAACATATTTCACTGTTTGGGAAGTAGATATTTTTGGGTTATGCCGTAACAGATTGTCTGCCATTCCTGGACAATCATTGCTTTCTGCGTCTTCATCACCATTTATTAATTGTCTTGAATCACTGTCCAGTTCCATCAGCCTAAAAAGACACAGGACAAAAATCTTTTATGACTTGAAGAGGTTAGGGTTCCAAGAAGCATCCAATCAGGATTCTGTTCCACAAAGTAACAAAGTAGTAGTTCTTGGAGGAAGAGGTTTTCTGAATGGAACCTTTTATTTACATTTTGAATATGGGAGGAATGAGAGTGATTTAACCTAGCTCATCTGAACATTTGCCATGGAAAATAGCAATAAAATCACAATTTGGCTTCTGTAGGTGGCTGGAAGTTTAGAACAACAACAACTCCGAGTTCAAAACCATGGGAACCACTCCATTTTCCCAAGAATGCATGTCAAGTCACAGAAAAATAAAGAAAGTGTAGAGAGCTGTGATCGTCTAAGTGTTGAAGTTACATAGCATTAGCAAATGTTTGATAGTTCTTATGCTTATGACTATAATTTCGTTATTTTTTTTTTTTAAATATTTATTTATTTTTCAGATATACGACATTTGATGAGACTGTTCATTCAGCATCAAAACATTCAGTGTTGGAAAAACTCTTGAAGGAAGCAAAAAAGCGAGAGAAAGAGTCACAGGCAAATCAAGAAGAAACTCGTAAGTATGACGAAAAAATGAAGTGGTTTGCCCACTTACTTGGGAATCAAACGAAACACCCACGAAAAATGGATTCTTAATAAGACATCAATTTTTTTGTGTGGAAATAAATCAACTTTGTCTCCATGTCTGTAAATTTTTCGTTTCAAATTACCTGCTTCGTTATTTACGATTTTTTTAAATTCTTATTCATTATTTTGCGGTAATTAACCAGAAATAATTAAAGGGAGATAACTTTTTGTTTTAACATGCTTCAGTTCATTAAAATCCATGTAGCTTTAGTTCCCAAAAATGTATCTTTCGATATCATGCCAAAGGCCAGATCTATTTATTGATTGAATTGAGAAAAATTTTGGTTAATAACTTAAATAAGCTAGGAAAGGTCGGGTTCAAGGACAGCTCAAATTGACCTGAAGTAAAAACTACATAGAATAAATTTTAGATCTGCTTGCATAGTGTAAAATGGTAAATATTGTAATGTACTTTAAAATGGTACATAATTCCACCTTCTTGGTGTAAAAATAAAGACTTTTTTTTTGCAAAGTTTAGTGGCACAGTTCTCTGGAATCCTTGGAAAGATAGGCGTCATTCTGTTTGTCTCATAATGGTCTTAATTGTACCAATTTTGAACTAAATCTGTAATGCCTATGGTATTTTTGGCAAAAATATTTGTTGATTTGGCACAAAATGATCCGTGTGTGTATTATAAAGTGGATTAAGTCTAACAATTATTTAATATATATTTTCTGTTTATACGTTATTTTTATACATATAATTTATTTAAGTAAAGGGAGCTATTTTATTGTTGTAACCATGATAGATTTTAAACAATTTTTTTTAATGGGAGTCTATCTTGGTACTGCTGCAAGTTAGAAGTGTTCATATATAGTTGCAAATGTTTCATCCTGCATTTAATACATTATGTCTAGCAAAGAACAAAAATGTTCTGATTCAGTGTAAATGCAATAAATTGCTTTCTTTAAAGTCTCAATTATGAACCTTGTTCATGTTTTGTCTCAGACTTTTATGGTTTTTAGCTGTAAGTAATCAACAGAATTCCTGTATTCTGTTCTTTTATTGTCCTTTCTACTCACTTCTCATCACTAAAATCTTCTCATTCTCTCACACTCTCATTAACCATTTGCTACCTAGTGGCATTATCACCTTTCTTGGGATGAAATGATTTTAAAAAAGACAACAAAAAAACCCAAAAAACTAAGGCTGATTTTTACATCTATATAAGTAACTAATTAATCGTTCTAATGGCCATACTCTGGCCACATTAGGAAGATGTTCAGGTTCTACTAGACCATGTGAAATCAATAAGACCTTCAATACAGTTCACAATGGAGAAAGAGAGTAACAACACATTCCAATTCCTGGATGTTCTAATATCTCAAACAGGGCATGGGTTCAAGACATCTGTATACCGTTCACCAGACAGTACCTCAATTTCAACTCCCACCATTCATACAGCGTAAAGAAGGATCATCCGCTGCTTACAACACCGAGTAAAAGCCATAAGTGGCGACCCAGAGACATTAGATAAAGAATTGGTCAGTATAAGTAGTACCCTACAACGTAACAACTACCCTGGGCACATGGCAGCAGCCCCCAAAAAACTGGGATAGTCGGGTACAAGAGGAGGACAACAACACACAGAAACACTCTGCCTACCTTATGTGAAGGGGTTATCAGAGAAAATACAAAGGATCTGCGGTCCATATAACATCAGGACAACCTTCAAAAGCTTGATGACACTTCGCAGATATCTCTCCCGAGTAAGACCCCTTCATAGAGGAGAACATGACTAAAGACTGTGTGTACGCTATCCCGTGCAGCTGCAGAAAAAAATATAAAGGGGAGACAGGCTGCCCCCTTAAGATAAGGTTTCAAGAACACCAGAAAGCTGAAAGGGGAAGCGGAAAAATCAGGCATGGCTGACCACATATGGAGAGAGAAGGGAGATCACCTCTCTTTGTGGGATCTGGTTGAGATCATAGACAAAGAACACCATTGGAAAATTTGTGAACTTAAGGAATCAGCCCATATGCTAGGCCACAAAAATCTCCTGAGCTGACCAAGCATAGAAATGAATACAATATGGGAACCAGTAATTAAGAGTGCCAGAGAAAAGTAATAACAACAACAAAAATTGCAATATGAGCTCTGGTTAAAACATGCAATGATAACAGCAAAAATTGCAATATGAACACTGGTAAAAAATGGTGCTGAAGACATTAGGTTTATAATACCCAGAAATCCATACACAGGTGTCCTCAAGGACACATAGGCACAGTGGATAAAGGCGTTGCTTAGATCCAGTGACAGGACCCAAAGAGCGTGAGTTCAGTACCCAGTTAAGGTAGTGCAGAACTTTCAGAGTGAAATAAACAGGAGATAACTGATAACTGACATCCATTAAACATGACACGTGGAACTAGAACAGTCTAACCCAGTGAGAAAAATAAAGGGTTCAGTTTGACATTCCAACCACTTGAAACCAACGGCCAAAATGTTGTAATAAATATGGCGACAAAGATGAGGACAATAGTCCAAATAATGTAATCATTCTAAGGAATGCAGTTAATTGAAATAAATGCTGCATAATTTATTGCATTTTTGTTCTAATGTGACTTTTGTCAAAATAAAGCATGGCAGAAGAAGTCAGGTTGTTTGATTTTTAATATGCCTTTTTTATTTCAGTTATTAAATTTTCATTCCATCATTTTCTCATCTGGCCATCTTCTTGTGAACATATAACGGGCATTTCTCTGTCTTTCATGGTCTGAACAAAGCAGTACTCATGTTGTGTTTTGCCTCTCATTTGACTTCCTCTTGGTAGGTCCACAAGAAATGGAATATGAAATCAGCATCAAGATATGAAGACACGAGTCCAATTCTCAACAATTTGGTGTTCATTTCAAATAGTTTCCCAGGTCAGAAAATTATTCTGCCTGGTAATAGTTCAATGGTGTATATATATATATATATATATATATATATATATATGAAAAGAAAGAACAGTAAGATATATAATCTGGTGTTCTTATAGATATATTTATTTTTACAAAATAGAGCTCAATGTAAATTTACAGAGAATTAATATTATAAATTAACTGATTTAAAATATGTTTTTTTGCTACATAGTTCTAACCATGTTTCAAAAATTAAATTCGAAGCTTTTAGCTTCCATTTTTGAAACATGGTTAGAACTGTGTAGCAAAAAAACCCTATTTTAAATCAGTTAATTTATAATATATATATATATATATATATTTTCCAGAATCTAAAATTTAAAAAAAAAAATTTTTCTGTTGAAATTAATTTTACGTTTGATTGTCCTTCTTCCCTTCTCCTCAGCATCCTTTGAAAAATTGAACGTCATATTTGTCTACAATCACAATACATTTGTTGCATACATGATTTCCATATTTATCAATGATGACCTGTCTAAGTTCTGCTTTATCATATCCTGTAAAAATAACTTCCCCACCTCCACCCTCTGAGATTAATTTTCTATTTAGCATAGATTTGACATTTAATTGGTTGAGCAAGACAGACTATTTTTAATTCTGATCTTGTATTTTCTCACCTCCCTCCTTTTATCTTTCGGAAAAGAGGTAATACTTTGCTTTTGAAATTTTCTTAAAAATTATTTAATCACTAGTCATTTACCATTACCTGAAGAGGTACAATGTAGTGCCGAAACATGAAAGCTATTGTGTAGCGATTTCAACATGTTTTTGCTATAATATATTATTCTTATTTTATTAAATATATATATATATAGAGAGAGAGAGAGATTCCTTTGACTCTTTTTCTTACTTCAGCTGAGCGACTGCTACCAACATGACTGGCTTCTCTCTTGGTATTTACCCGAGATCTCTGCACAAGGTTGTCTTTTTTTACATGAGGCATTCCAAGCCCATATGCTCTGGCAAAAATTCACCATAGACTCTGTATACACGGGGTTGGGTTGCTGTCTACCTCCCCAGATGAGACTCTGCCCTTTGGCATAGCGTCATCTACGTTACTCTCTTCCCAAAGCAGAGTGGTCCACAAGAGGAAACCTATTCTCTCTCCGTCTAGCCCTAACTGGGATTCTACTTGTATAGGCCAGCCAGCAGAAACATCTGGTTTCTGATGAAGTGCCACTTGATTCCCTTGTTCATTTATTTTTATTATTTTATTTTTCCTTTATTCAAGTGGGTTGCTGCTTTAACCCTAGTCTTCAAAGAATATCTTCCAGCCATTAAAAAAAAAAAAACTGACGTTTCTGACTCTGATAACATCAGTTCGGGCCTCTTTGACTTTGTGTGTGTTCAGCCAGTTGCATGGAGGGACTAATTATGCCACATTCTAATGTTTACAACATATTTTGTTTTTCTTTTATTGCAGAACCTTGTGACACCACAGAAAGGAGAAAACACAAACGTAAAGATGACTATGAATTGGACAATGTTTCTAAGAAGAAGAAAAAGAAATCTGAGTCATCAGACACAGAAAAATTATCTCCAAATGAGGAGGCTATCACTACAGCAGAAATGGCAGAATCTGAGGGTCATGTGAAAAGTGAAGGGGAAAAGACTGAAGAAGTAAAACAGAAAAAGTCGAAGGAAATGAAAAAACAGGAAGAGGAAGAGGAGGAGACAGAGGCGGCAGAGGAGGAGGAGGAGGAGGAGGAGATAGTTGTTGAAATGCCAGATATTGAAGGGCCTCATGAATTTGGCGGTTTTACTGTCCTTGGTGACTATAAGGAAAAAGCTTTGGATAAGGTAAGACGAGACGAGGATAAAGTTATTTTGTTATATGATGTGTAGGGGTGAGGTGTAATGGATATTGGCTTTGGAATGTGAAATCTGAGAGCTGAGCTCATTTGGAAAGGTATGAATCCATCTCATCTCCCACACTATTGGTTAAATAGGATGTCTTTGGAAAAATTATTCTTATTCTTAAAGAAAAAATATTTAATGCATTATTGACTCACAAAAAAAGAATTATTCTTACAATAAAAAAATGTTTGGTGCTACTATAGAATGTGGTCAACCTCATTTGCTAGCATAGATATACGGTCTACCTCATTTGCTAGCATAGATATGCAGTCTACCTCATTTGCTAGCATAGAATGAGGTCTACCTCATTTGCTAGCATAGAACGCGGTCTACCACACTATGAATTATACCATGACCTCACCTTACTTCTCATGCTGTCCCCCTGTGATCTACCGCATCAAAATCTCCTTTGTTCTGAAACTGTTAACATCAGCTGGATAACCTCTAGCTTTATAGTTGGGTCATTTTGACTGAGGAAACAGCAATCGCATTTTTATGAGAGAAGCAATAGATATGATATAGTGTTAGATAGTGCGGTAGCCTGAATACTATATTATAATAATTTATGTAGACCGCATGCTATAGTATTTGATACTGTGGTAGACCACATACTGCAGTAGCACCAAATGTTTGGGCTTTAAATAACCCACAAATTGTTGGCAACCTAGAAAAAAACAAACCGTAGCTCAAGATTAACATTATCCCATCATCCCGGAGACAATAGAACATTTGCTTGGAACAGTGTGAAGAGTTCATCCAATACAATGCCTGGACCCTATGTTAATATTCATTCATAAATTGTGTAGGCTTCACTTAGACTATTATGTCTACTATTACTAGTTGGATTCGTACAAGGCACAAAATTGAGATGAAAGAAAAACTAGTCCTAAATTAACGATAATGCATCATTAAACCCAAATTGTTGATTTTTTGTTGTAGGTTGATCGTGTCCTTCCAAACTGGTTGGCCCACCCGAGTGAAATCAAGTCTGATGTGACAACTGACCATGTTCCTGTCTCACAATTGCCTGATCTGGATGCTGACCTTAAACAAAAGCTGCTCGATAATGGAATCATGCATTTCTTTCCAGGTTTGGATCTTGATGTCAAGTGAAATACTTATGAAACTTTTGTGATGTCAACGAACACTTGTTGCCACCTTTGTAATGCCAATGAATACTCGTTGTCACTTTCGTAATGCTCGTTGTAGTAGAGACTTTGTAACTGCAGATACAACTATAGTAATGCTGTTGAACAGTTCTGGTGTCAGATACCTTCGAATAACACTCGCACTAATAGTACTTGCTTGATAATACTCACTCAAAAAGTCACCACCGAATAGTAATCCATATAGAGAAATAGTACAGTGACTAGTATAGAGAATAGTGATCCATATAGTAATAGAGGATAGAGTAGAAATAGTGATCAATTAGATGCCATGCTAATTCCCATATGTATTTTTAATTTACCATCATGTGATCTACTTATTTCAAATGGGATCGCCTGTGTTTGCTCACTGGCGATCTATGTTCAAACTCAAGTGTCGGCGGCGACACTTTATTCCTATATAACAGAAGTGTATACAATGTTTTCCTGTAGACCCAAGTATAAACCTACCCAATATTTGCATATAAACTAAAGTATACAAAAAATAGGTTTCAGTATATATGCTTGTTTAATAACCCAAAGTATATCTTTTCAATTTTCATTTTCACCTCTAGATGGTGAGGATAACCAGATTTTTTTTTCTTTTACTACTGTTCACCCATTATAAAGCTCAAGAGCCAATCAAGGTAGAGGGATACTGTGTGGAGTTATATTTGCATAAGAAAGGGGCAAGAATTGAATTTCTTGGGGTTATGCAGGGAAGATAACAGCTACCTCTAGACTTGAAGTGGTCAAGATTTAATTAGTGAATAACATTTCAGAGTTCAGGTGAAGTATAGTGTGGAAGTAGGCTTTGAAAGGAACCATAAACCCCATCCTAAGCAGGGAACAAGGAATACACCTCTACTCCTGTTCAGAAAACTGTTGAGGGGTGTGAACCGGATAAAAGGCAACATATATCTCCTCCTACTGGAGAAAGAGAGAAAAAATAAAAAATAATTAGTAGATAAAATTTCAGAGTCCAGGCAGAGATGTTAGCAGTATAGAGTGAGTTGAAGTAGACATTAGAATGTACTGGAAACCCAATCCTAAACAGGGATAAAGTGTTAAACCTCTACACCTGTATTTTTTTTTTCTTTTTTCAGCTACTCTTTCCAGAGCTTTCAATTTTCTTGAAACATAATTTTAGTTTCTTTATGTTGAGCCTTCTCATGGTTCTTGGATTCTTAAAATATTGTCATATTTGAGGAATTTCTTGATAATCTGTTCAATTCCCTTTGTTATGTGAGTAATTACTGTCTTTCAACTTACTGTTTACAACTGGTAACTTACTATTTGGCTTCATGTAGTCCTATTGTTGAATAGGACATGGTGAAGAAAACTTGTGCATTTTAGTATCAGAAATAAAACTAGAAGTCGTGTCAGAAGGAAAAGTTGACAATATGTTTGCTACCGCCTAGGTCCCACTCCTCCCCGATCTTTTGAACAGTAGTAGATGTTTATTCCATTCCTGTTTAGGATTAGGCTTCTGTTTCCTCCTCAAGTTTACTTCAACTCTATACTTCTAGCATCTCTGCTTGAACTCCGAAGTTTATTATCTCCCTTCTTCAATAGGAGTAGATAGGTTCACCTATTGCCCAGTCCACATTTCTCCCCGGTCTTTTGAACAAGAGTAGAGGTTTCATAATAATATTAATTAGGAACATAGTCAAAATGAGCTGTATTTGGGATTTAAAACAAAAATTCCTAAAAAAAAAAAATTACCATTACAATCACTTAGTAGATTTCTTATATGCATAAATAATAAAACATTTAATCACAGTGCCTTGTCAGACATCTTCAATATAAGCATATATATATATATATATATATATATATATATATATATATATATATATATATATGTATATGTAAGAAATATATGATATAGATCCGATAGTATGAAGAAAAATATACGGAAAAAACAAAACAAAAATCCTAAAATGCAATTATTAATTAACATTAAAAATCCTAATATGCAATTATTAATTAACATTAAAACAGCATAATTGCATATTAGGATTTTTGTTTGTTTTTTCCGTATATTTTTCTTCATATATATATATATATATATACTATACTTAAAAGCTACCCTACTCGGTGGCATTTAAGATAGTTCTTGCGGAGAGATCTTGATTAGGCCTTTGGCTTGTTGAAGAGTTTGAGAATCCCTAAGTCTTTGCATATTCTCAGTATTAGAAGCTCTCCTGGTGGCCGTTTGATCTCCATTTTCATATGCACAAGACTTTCTTTTCCTTGCTGCAGCCTTGGCTCTTTTGATTGCAAACTGGTCCTCTCTTCATGGTGATTCCTTTTTGTGAGGTATACTGCTGCTGTATGCAATAGTCAATAATAAACTACAGAAGAAATCAAAATTGATCACTGCATTTAAATATTGCATTAATATTTAAGCTTAACCTTTTAAAAGTTCAACAATAATTCTTGTCACCACTTAATTTAAAGACTATTTAATGTGTGTAGGTCCTTTCTGTACAAACAATTACTTTTATTTCATTAGTGACTTTCACTGGATTTCGCAATTAATCTCGATTATTCCCAAATTTATTTCCAAGTTATAAAAATTATTATTGTACAAAAAAATTTGTCGCAAAAAATCATAAAAAATCGCCCTAAGCAATCGCAGTAATAAAAACCCGGGAATTTCTGTAACAATTAAAAGTTAAAGAGTTGTGTCCCTTTGATTGTTTGATTGAAAAATGTGACACATTGACATTCGCAATTATTATATATATATATATATATATATATTTATTTCAAAGGATTTTTTTTATCTGATATTATTTCTATACACGTTATATAGGTAATTTAAACTTTGCCTTGTCAGGATAGCTTTGTGGTTGAACTGGAAAAAGTACACTTTACTGAAAAATAGAGTTTCCTGATAGAAAAAAGTGATACAGGTTCGATTCCTGTCAGAGGCATAATTTTTCTTTAGTCGGACTTCTCATTTTAACACAGTTATTATTAAATTCACTATTTAATAACAATTAGATAAACAGTGTTGGCACAGAAATCAACACTGAATGGTTACAGTCTGTTTCACACTTCAAACTTCAGTCTATATGGCTTGGATAGTCACTTGACTATATATGCTAGTCATCGGGGCATTATTAGTTGCAAGGTCAGTTAATGAATAACACCTAATAAATAGGCGGCAATGATTATTTTAAATTATTCTGATGGCTATCAAATAGAAGTAATTATGCGATGGAAATTACTTATTTTATAGCTATTCTATATTTATGAATAAATGCATACCCACAGTTATATAAATTTAATAATAATCATTAGTAAATAATTAATGAATAAATATAAAGCACACTAATGTAATTAATAATAAACTGAAATGATTTAAAAGTAAACCTCAATCCTGTAACTTAAATAGAAAAGTAAACCTTAAACTTGTGATCTAGATAATTATAACAAACAATCCTGGATATGACTATAAACTACGTCCAACAACAAGGCCTCTGATTCAGAGATTGGAGGTTTTGAAGAGTGTGGAACCACTGATTAATTCTTATTGTTCCCATATCCACTCTGATCTGAGGTGGTATCACCTGTTAGGGTCCTGGCTATAGGCAAATAGTGAACTCCCAAACAAAAATCAACAGTACATTTTTATAGCAAAATGGCCAACTATCCATTTTTTTATAGCAAAATGACCTGCAATACTTTTTATTGCAAAATGACCAACTATACATTTTTTATAGCAAAATGACTAGCAATACATTTTTTATAGCAAAATGACCTGCAATATATTTTTTATAGCAAAATGACCAACTATACATTTTTTATAGCAAAATGACTAGCAATACAGTTTTTTTATAGCAAAATGACTAGCAATATATTTTTATAGCAAAATGACCAGCTATACATTTTTTATAGCAAAATGACCAACAATACATTTCTTTTTCTAAAAAAAAATTACCAACACTATTTTTTATGATCTACAAACTATATATTTAAAAAATATACCTTTTTCCCTGAATGTATAAAATTATGTACAAAATATTTAGATTTTGGCATTAAATAACCCATAGAGGTTGATGTGCTGCTAAATAAAATCAACCACCATAACAAAAATAGCTATGAAATTAACTGCTTTCTATCCCATAATTCATTCTATTTAATAGCTGTTAGAATAATTTAAAAGAACAGGAATAACTGTTCTCACCTATTCGATAGCAATTAGATTAATGCAGTAAACTGACTTTGTTATCTATAATTCCCTATTGACAAACAGATAAATAGTCAAGCTACTAACCAACCCACATGGCCTGAAGATTGTTTCCAAACAGGAAATAGACTGTTGCCAAGATTTTTCATATCCCACATTGTTTCAAGTAAGAATGAGTGATAGGCAGAAGAAACCCGATCATATATTAATCACAAGATTTGGAGATCAGCACACTTTCAAAGCATTTTCATCTGAGTAAATTATCTTCATTTTTTTTTTGACAAGCCAGCATTTACTAGGTCAAAATTGCGATCATGAAAGTAGTGGCTAATTTAGTATAAAGAGTAAGACCATTTTGTTGGATATCTTGTGAAAAATGCTCATCAACAAATATTATTCTACATAAATTTTTATTGGTCATTTCAGTTCAGTACCAGGTGATCCCATCGTTGCTTAATGATATCAAATTTGGAACTGGAATTGGTTGTGGTGGTTTCCGTGCAAGAGACATCTGCTGCTCCTCCCCAACAGGCAGTGGAAAAACACTGGCCTTTGTACTTCCAATTATTCAAGTAAGTAAAAAATATACACTGACCTGACCATCTTGTCCAAAATCTACAGTTTTACTTTTATCACATCAAAATTCAGGTCATGTTGCATCAATTAAATTTTACAAAAAAAAAATAGCAAACAGATAAACATGTACGCAATAAGCCATAGTGTCAAAAAGGGCAGTTTTTTTTCCCATGACTGCTTTTATTTTAACTACCCTCCCAATGTTTATTGTTCTAAAAATCATTGATTAGAATTGGAATAAAACCTAAATATGATGAAAGTGAATTTATACATCTTTTTTATTTTTTTTCCAACAAAAATATTAAACACTATTTATTTCTTAGATTGTTTATTTACAATAATAATTTTACATTTGCAATATTCTAAAAATGAATGCAATGCAATATTTATCATTTACCAACTTATAATGAAATATATGTGAAAAAAATTTTTTTCATACATTTATAAACATTTACTAGATTATTAAAATACATGAACCAACTGTAAAGGAAATCCTTATTGTTTAACATTTAATGAAGTTTGAATCAATTGGCAATTTTCTGATGTTTTGCCAACCTTTCAAATAAACAATATAATAAATAGTGTAAATATAATAATAATAAAATATAAATATATAATAAATAAAATAGTGTTTATTATTTTTGTTATTATTTTTTGTTGTCAAGAACAAAGAAGATATATAAATTCCCTTTCTTATATTTAGGTTTTATTACAAGTCTAATCAACTCTTTTTAAAGCAATAAACATCAAATGGATATGTTAATTTGTGGCAGTGCCTGTCTAATTGTTTAAAAAATTAGAATTCCATTCATGAGACTGGGGTCCAAATCTCACCTTTGTTAAATTTTTTTATTTGTAAGTTTAATACTCTCCTAAGTTTTTTCTTTACAAATTGTGTATATTTATAAGCAGAAACACATCTTTACTAAAGCAAAACAATTAAGATGAAATATTTAGTTATACAAAATTATTTTATATTACCTGCTGTTGAATCTTAAAATTACCAGCAAATAGACAAATCCAGTTTTGAAAATTGTTTACATTATTTGAAATGTAATTCAGTTGAATAATGCAAACTCTGAAAAATAAATGTAAAACTGTTACCAACAAAATCTTAACCTTACTCATTTCTCCCAAATTTTGAAGTCATCTTTGGTCTTCAAAAATTTTGGAGTCAACTTTGGTTTTCAAAAATTTAAATACAACGTCAATTGTTGCTGTTTTAATTCTGCTTTCATATTATTCTCTCTTCTTAATAGTGCTTGTTTTTTTTGTTGTTGTTTTTTTTTTCTTGTATTTTCCTAACACTTAGTAACCCCTTGTATCTTAGTGGCTTTATTGCCTTTCTTGGAGTGAAATGATTAAAAAAAAATAACCAAAATTCACAACATAAGCTGTTTCTGAAGTAAATTCAATTTTTTTTTCTAAATTTGAAAAACCTATACTTTCTTTTTTTTCATTTCTAACTTTTTGGAGTTAGAAAAGGCTTTAAATTTATATGGGGAGAAAAAATTTATTGTTAAAATCTAACAGATATTCTAAGAATGTTAAATTGAGTTTTTATTGAATCTAAGGCATCAATATTTGTTTAAAAAAAATGTGGGAAATCCAATTCATAGAAATAATTGCAAATGTTAAAAATGTAGATGAGAACTCATCATGTACAATGCCAGAATGGATTTTGTACTCTGTGTTCTTCAAAGAAATCAAGTGCATTAGTAGGTTGGCCGAACAAATGACTTCTTAATTGGCTTGTGGGAGTGGAAATAAGCAATTCAATAATTGTCAGTAGCTTCCATGTGATCAGACTAGCTGCACTTAAGATGTGGTAAAAAGTCAATAACAGACAGATATATAACCCACCCCAGAGAGAAGACAGACTGACATATCTACACAAAAATATAGGGTTCATGTTCAGAAAAGGCCTTGGCACCACACTCCCACTTGGTAGGTGATGGTCCAGTGATGAATAAGCAGTAATGTTAGGTTGTTATTTTGTTAGGTTGAGTTTTCATTAGTCAGCACCACAATAATATTCTTCTTCTATGTGCCATGTCCCTTCAAGACGTGAGCGATCATAGCTCTCCACAACTTCCTATTCTTTGTAGCTCTAAGCACTGTCTATCATCTTACTATACTTCTTCTTCCCTGTTCTGCCATCCATTTACACAAGCTCATTAGGTAGGTTAATGTTTCCCCCTCTGTCTCTCTTGCTTTTTAATATGTCCTGTGAGTGTCAAATTTTCCAAGCCTTCTTTCCTTAGTAGGTGTTCTAAAAATTTCAACTGACTCTTTTTGATTTTAAGTATAAGTGTTTTTTTGTTTCCCTTCTCCTTAAAACTTTCACAATAATATTATAAAAATAAAAAACACTCCTAAACTCAGTATTTCTTAGTTAATTTTACCTGAATATTTCAGCAGCAGTATATTGGATTATTGGTATATCACATGCCTATTTACCTTCAAGGTTCACTTAAATTTACATTTTAGTGAGACAAAACAAAAATGATACTGGCTTTTATGTTATTTTTTTCACCCCATGCAAGGCAGTAAAGCCACTAAAACACATAGGGTTATTGAGTGTGAAAGAATTAGAAAACAAAAACATTATTAAGGAGTGAGAACAATAGAAGAGTAATCAGGAAGACTGTAGATAATGTTTGACATTGCGTTTAAATTTTTGAAGATCAAATTTGGCTGGAAAGCATAGAACCAGAAGAGAGTTCTACAGTCGAGAAGTGTGAGAAAGGAAACTGTTTGCAAAGAACTTACAGTTACATCTAGCCAATTCAACTGTGAATTGATGAGACCTTACTGCCATTCTAGTACTGCATTTAAATTCATAAAGTCTAGATACCATAAAATATTTTTGTTTCTGAAATTGTTTTTGCTTTTACTTTTGAGTCATATGTTGGAGATGAAATTGTCATTTTTATTTTTGAGTCATATACTGGCGATTAAATGGTCATTTTTATTTTTGCCAGGCATTGAAAAACCGTGTCGTTCGACGAATACGTGCATTGGTCATCTTACCTGTTCGAACCCTAGCACAACAGGTGTACAAAGTTTTCCAAACATATGCAGAAGATTTTGGGCTAAAGGTATTGTACTTTGATAATTTTTTTTTTTTTTTGCTTCTGAGTAGATTATTTATCTTGGGGAAACAATTCTAGTGTCTGTTTATATCTAGCATCCTTATATGGTGTCAGTTCATTGTTTTAGATTAAAGCATCATAACATTTTTTTTTGTCCCATATTTTTCTTTTTTTTTTTTTTTTGTCAGGTTGGCCTTATCATGGGTGAAAAAAGGCTTGAAAGAGAACAGATGTCTCTAGTTAAGAAAAGGTGAGCATGTTTTTTAATTTTATTTTACCTTAATTATATTTATTTATTTATAGTTTTTGTGACGTCAATGAACACTTGTTGTCACTTTCATAATGCCCATTGTAGTAGAGACTTTGTAAACAGAAAGTTCGGATTGAGTCTTTCAAATGTCGATGTTGATTTTATTAGGTCCCCAGGCATATGTCCGTAAAATTTAGGTTTTATCTGTACATGTTCGGCAGGAATTTTAACTTTCCTAACATCCTCCACTGAATAAGGCAAATTCCTACTCCTTACCATGTGAACCATCCATGTTATGCCTGTCAGAGTCTCCTTGCCAGGCCAGTAAGTAATATCAAGCAAGAAACAAGATAGTTCAATTCTCCACCTTGCTATTTTTTCATTTTTTATTTTACTGGTAGCCTTTGAGTTGAACATGAACGAAACAGATTTTTGGTACATTATTTACATTATTTGGACTATTGTCCTCATCTTTGTCGCCATATTTATCACAACGTTTCAGCCATTGTATGCTCCGGCCTTCTTCAGGTGGTTAGAATTTCAAACTGAACCCTTTATTTCGCTCACTGGGGTAGGATTTAGACTGCAAGTTTGCAAGTATAAGCATATTCATAAGCATCTTTCAAGGTAAGAGTCTTATTTTCAAGAAGGCTTTGTGTAGCGGAACTGAAAGGCAGCAGTCTGTGGGTTCTGCTGAACTGACTACATTTTGCTGTTCTAAGAGGCAACAAGTGGCATGCGTAATATGTAAGCAGAATAGTGGACGCTTACACAAATGTAGCAAGAGTCCCTGGCAAAATGAAATACTGGACAAACGAGGAAAGAAAACAATGGCCTACCTTGGAAATGTCCATGAATCTGTGCGTAATGTAAAGTCCGGTTGCTCGACGGCAAAGAAAGAATCAAAATGGCGGCGCCCATGTTTTATGACAGGTGGTCTCGGACGACTAATGCAAAATCTCATTGGCTAGTGATTCGTATGTAAATTATGGTCGGTCCTCGGCTGTATAAAGCGATCCATCTTTTGGGAGAGACAGAGGCGTTCTTGTTGGCGAGAAGCAAAGGCTGAGTGTGTGACCCAATTTTGGCGTCTCTACATGGCCTGTTGGATTGTTACGTCGGACAGTCATTGAACTGGATTTTGGTTACAAGTGTTGTGGTTGAGAGACGAATCTGTTGCAGACTTATTCCTACCGGAAATTGACACTCATTATTTGTTTTCTTTTGCATTTTCTTTTCTTTACCAACACACTTTGCCATACCTGAACATCGGTCATCTACGAAGGCATCTAGAATATATTCCTCTTGTGTCACCAAAGCAGTCGTGGGATGAAAATTGCAGTTCCTGCTTAATATCCGAAGGGTCTTTAGGAAATGATCCAATGTTTTGCCAGATTCCTGTTGCCGGGTAGCAAGTATATATCAGGCAAATAGTTCATTTTTGGGTTTCACGTTGGTTGTGTGTAATTTATCGCTTCTTCATAGGTTTTACAGTCTACAATCATATCGTTGATTGAATGAGATACATAGTCCGAAGAGCACACTTGTTAATAAGCCAATTCAGGTTCTCAAAGAGTAGAGTTTCAACAAAGTTCATAAAAGTTTTGAGCCATTTTGTCCAGCGTTAATCTGTTGCTTTGCTTTTCTGAGTCATAGGTAAATAATTTTGGCTGCATATATCAGGGAAGCAAGGAAATGGAAGTGTGAGAAAAGAAACTGTTGGAGTAGAAGTAGTGGTTGCATTTAGCTATTTCAATAGTAAAGAAATGAGATATAGATGCCAATCTAATAACGCATTTAAATTCACATAGACGTGGCACCAGGGAAAAAAAAAGTCGTAAAATAAGTGGTCATTTTTATTATTCTTTTTAGTGCAAAAGATGTTTTTTCAAAGCATGAATTAAAAAAAAAATAGAAGTTTCACTTGTTATTTTTTTAAGTGTGGTAGTTTGTTCGTCAAAGTATTTACAAGTATTTCACGGGCGACTTGTGTAAAAATGTTCAACTGAAAAATGTTTTCAAAGTTTATGTGATAATTTTTTTTTCTTTTAAGTCTTGATTTCTTCCTCAAAGTTTGTTTTTTGATAGAGAAATGCAATTGAAAATTAAATACCTGAGAAATAAATAAATAAGATTAATCGTTTTCTTATTGAAGAAATGATCACAAGTGAAATTTTGAGGAACAATGGTTAATCATAAAAAAAAAATTTCATCAATGAAAAGTCAATGGTAATAGTAGTTTCCTTTGAATCATTTAAAAAACCGTATTTTTCAATATATAAGATGCATTTTTTTCCTTAAAATTTAATGTCAAATCTGCTTGTGTCCTATACATCAAAGTTATTAATAATATATATATATATATATATATATATATATATATATATATATATATATATATATATATATATATATAGTTATGAAAAACTAGGTAAACCTAAGGAGGATAAAATCCAGAGAGCTCAATGTAAATTCAGAGCAAATAATTTAAATAAAAACAGATCACTTTAAGGTTCCATGGTTTTTTTTTTTTGTTTTTGTTTTTATAATATTAGTCTTCCTATATAGTTATTCCTAAATATATTTAGTTAGATTTAGGTTGTTCTTATGTCGGCATTTAAAAATTAGTTCATTACGTTTGTTTAGTAATAAATCTGGATCTTTATGCTTTATTATGAGGATTTTTTCTTTTATGCATAAGTCGCATCTGTCTCTGAAATTTATTGGAGCTCTGGCTCTCGAGATTATCTTCCATTTTATTTGTGGGGTTAAGCCACCATCCAACAACTCCAATATATATATATATATTGGCAGCATGTTTTCATTAAGAAGCTATCTATATTAAAATATTGAAACCAACTCTTAATAAAATTAATTATGAATACTGCACAAATGTTTTAAAATGTTTGCACTAGTAGTTTAAAATATCTGGGTTTTAACTAATAGTTTTAAAAAAAAGTTTGACATCTCAATAACTTAGTTATCTCCCTTTACATTACAACACGTGTATGTTTACATCATAAAATTAAAAAATCGTACAGTACATTAGTATTTTCACTTCACAAGTAAAAAATTTAATTTTCAGATGAACACAACAATTTTATATTAGAAACAACAAGACCCTGATGATGATATTGTGCTAATGCCGAAAGTACTTGGAATAAAATGAATATACATCAAAATAGAATCTAAATAAATATAAAAAAAAAATATGGGAGAATCCTAGTATTAAGATTATTTAATGAGAAATGTCTTATATATAAGTGTACACTGAAGTCCCCACCCAGCAGCAACAGTCTGTTTCATGCTTAAACACAATTGTCAGGCTATATATATATATATATATATATATATATGATAGTGTCTGTAAGAGGACAATATAAATAAAGACAAAAGGAAAACTTAGCTGACACGTTTTGTCTTCTGAGGGACTTTATCAAGGCAAATGCCATTTGCTTTGACATAGTCCCCAGAAATATGAAATATATATATATATATATATATATATATATATATATATATATATTTATTTATTTTTATGCATATATATATATGTGTGTAAAAGTGGATATTGAGATCAACACACAGTGGTGACACTGTTTTATGCTTAAATGCAATCTTCATGGCCTGAAGATTGTGTTTAAGTATGAAACAGGCTCTACAATAGTATGGATTTCAAATGTGAAATGCATATTTCCAATCAGTGCTTAATTCAATTAACATCGTTACTCACTGTATCCAGGGTTTCCCAACCTGGCTGATATTTCCCACTGGTGGGCAATTTTATCTCTTGGGTGGACAATGAGCATTTGAACAAAAAATAGTTGGCAATATAGGATTTTGAGTATTAAAAAGGTATTTCAGCATATGTTACTTGAAAAAAATATTCCAAGGAGATATGCAAAGAACCTATATATATATATATATATATATATATATATATATAAAAACTAAGTTAAATAAGAATAACTTAGTCACATTCCTAGATAAAATATAAATATCCTTGCAGGCAAGGAATATTTTGGTATTTTCTATAGTTTTAAGAAGGGTCATTAACATTCAGATAGTTCTTCACATGAAATAACATATTTTTTTAGTTATAAATTTGATAAAGGAAGACCAAGAACAACAAAATATTTTCTGAATTTTTATTTGTTGCTAATAGTGTTTATTCTTTTTAATTTTATGATTATGAACAAAACTCATTTGATTTTTTCATCAACACTTGCAATGCTTACCCTAACCATAAAACTAACCTTGACCATAATATATATATATATATATATATATATATATATATAGTTTTCAATGATCAAATTTGCTTTCGTTTGTTCTTCAATATGGTAGCAGCAGCAGTCACTGCGTAAGTCAGCGCTATTTGTTATCTCCCTTGATAATTTTTTTTTTTTTTTTTTACTACATCATAAAGTCAGTTTATGAACCAGTATCAAAGAGCTACAAAAGAACAGAAAATTGTGGGGAGACATGATCGCCTACGTCCTGAAGAGATATGGCACATAGAAGATGAAATTGTTACTTAACAGTTTTGGTATGCTCCTGAATATTTACTATATAGGAGGGCAGTGGAAAATTTTTCCATTTTGTAAGTGGGTGATTAAAGCAAAAATGGTTGGAAGCCTCTGGTTTAATCAATATTTTAATTTTCATTGAATACTCTGCAAAACCGTCTTCAGAACAAGGAAAAATTCTTATAGGCATGATACTAAATTGGCATTTATTTCCCACCTTTTTACTATTGAAATGGTTAAATGTAACTGCCACTTCCACTCCAACTGTTTATTTTCTTGCACTTCCAACCTTTGGAACTCCCTTCTGTTTACTTGCTTCCCCGATAACTATAATCTTCAAAAATTTAAATGCAATATCAATCGCCATCTTCTATTGTCCTGAACCCCCATTCATCTTTTATCCTTTCCTCAATCCCTCTTATACTCAGTATTTTCTCTCACTCTCACTAACCCCCTGCATACTGGTGGCATTCTTACTTTGCTTGGGGTGAAGTGATTAAAAAACAAAATGAAAAAATACATGGTTGCATCTTATATTCCAGAAAATATGGTATGTACGCCACAAGTGTGAAATATACACAAATTGAGAGAAAAGTGTATGGTTGATTGTATATATTAAATTCTATGTCTCAATGCAAGAATTTGTTTTGACTGATGCAAAAAAAAATATATATATAACTATGTCTTCTTGATATATTTAAGATTTTATTCTAATTGTTTTATTTTATTTTTATTTTTTTGTCAGGGGAGATGGCTATGAAAGTTTGGTTGATATAATTGTTGCAACACCTGGAAAACTTGTGGATCACATTTCTTTGACAGAAGGATTTGATCTGAAACATTTAAGATTCTTGGTATGTTTCTGTAAACAAACATTCATTTTGAAAGATGCTTTGCAGCCATATAGTCAACAAGGTTAATTATCTAATAACATATCCAGTCTCGTAAAATGTCTGATCCTGTTTGGTCATCTTCCACTTTTGAAAAGAATCTGACTAGACATGCTTCCACTGAGTCCAAGTACACACTCCTCGGCACAGAGATTGAACTCACAATTACTATGAAACCAAATTCACAAACCAATGCTTTAAACTACTAGGCTATTGTCCCAGAGTTTTGTTTGCGAATTTGGTAACATACTAATTGTGAGTTCAACCCCTGGCTGGGAAGTGTGTACTTGGACTCTGTAGAAACCAGATGAGCAATAACTGAGCAGTATTAAAAATAAGAACTAGACGAGATGTCCTTGGACATTGGCAGTGGAATGAGAACAGTCTAACCCTATAGATTAAATAAAGGGTTCAATTCAGAATTCCCTGTAGGCTAGCCAGATCGATATACATTTGATGATGGCTGGAGGGTACAATGGCCAAAATGTTGTGATAATAACAACAAAGATGAGGACAATAGTCCGAATGTAAATAGTGTAAATAATAACTCCTCATCCCAGAAATCTGAATAAATTGACTAAAATGGTTTTATTCATAATGGACTAGTTTACCCAGGTCATTACAAATGAAGACCTCTTTTGTTAGCTTTCTAAATAATTTAGCCCTGTTGGAGAGGGATTGGAATACACTGACTGTATCATCTGCAGGTTTAGGAAGGCTCTACACCACTAGCTAAAAAGAGGCCACCTTCTGGGCAGACACCTGAAAATTTAGGTATAAATTTGACCTTTTAGACTCTAGCATAAGGCTAACCTATGTCAGGCTTATTTGACTGGTGTACCAACTGTTATGGGACAGTGATAGGACAACAGCTGTCCCATAATAATTGTTACATTTAGTATAGAAAATGTACATGCAGATGTAGATTATAAGATAGTGTATAATAAATTTGAAATTAATGTCTGTATTGTAGACTCACCTGTACAACATAGAACCATAGCTTTACTACGCTAGGTGTTACTACTTTATTTTCTGTAATAAGTATGTTTTTACAAGGTGAAGTTGCTCACTGTATGTTGATCTGTTTTTTTTTCTTCTAGACTAGTTGCCAACTAAGGCTGAAAAGGCCATACCTGATATTAACCACTACCTGTGCTCTAGAAGAGGTAGAATCATAACTTTCCAAAAGGTATTTGCGTAGAATCATAGCTTTCCAAAGGTATTTGTGCAAAAACAAATGTTGTAGCCTTGGCTAGAATATAAACTCTGCATGCAAATCCCACTTGCCATGCCAGTCACCACTATACTTATGCACACATCCAAATTTAATATAATCAATATAAATTTTTATTGTATTAATTATAACTGGATTAACTTGAAAGATTTTTTTTTTCTTTTGTTTCACATTCAGGTAATTGATGAAGCTGACCGAGTTATTGATGACATCAAACACGATTGGTTGGCGCTGGTAGAAAAGGCAGTATACAAAACGAATGTTAATGGAAATATTTTTGATAGTGAATTCATCCGTCCCAAACCTGGTCCTCTCACTGTTGCAAAGTAAGACAATATTTTTTGCTGCGATTTTGTGATACTTTCATAGTTTCTTTGGCTCAAGTGTCAGGTGTATTTATTACAACTAATGGGGAAGCTGTGGAGGCTCTATGTTATTTCTGTTTTATTTATGCAGATGACACAGTGTTGATAGTAGACATAGAAAGAAAACTACAAAAACTCCTACAGAGGGTTGTAAAGGAAAGTGAGAAGACAGGATTAAATATCAATTGCAAGAAGACAGAATTCATGGTTGTTAGCAAAAGGATGAATCCAAAGTGGGAATTGCAAAACAGAGGTACCAAAATCAAACAAGTGCGGAAATGTAAATATCTAGGAAGTGTTTTAACAGAGGACGGACAGAGTGACACTGAAATCTGATGGCATATTGGGATAGCCAAATATGCCTTCCGAAAGCTAAGCAGAGTATTAAGAAATAGGAAAATTTTGTTAGAACCAAAGAAAAGAGTACCAAAAAGCAGTCCAATCTCAAAGATGGACTAGAATCAACAGAAAGGTGGTTCTGCAGAAGGATGTTGAGGATATCATGGACTGAGCAAGTGAGAAACTATGAAGTTTTGGAGAAAATGGAAACAAAAAAGAAATTAATACTTAACAGCAAGAAGAGACAGTTGAGTTTTCTGGCGCACACAATGAGGACAGAGGGCTTGGAAAATCTGATGCACACAGGGCAAAAGGGACAGCAAATGATAACAGCGCATAGCATACTTACAGAGCTTGAGTAAATGGATGGCAGGACAGGGCTTAGGAGAAATAACAGAAAGGCAGAGTTTAAGAGTTACAAGGGACAGGAAGTTGTGGAGAGCCATGATCATCTTCTTCCTGAGACGCTATGACGCATAAAGAAGATACAACAGTGACCTTGAAGTGCACATGCTTTTTCCTGTTGATGTAAACTTTATCAAGCTATTATTATGAGACAGCTGTTGTACTACCTCTGTCCTGTAATAGTTGGTACATCTGCATGCAGATTTTCTACACTGAATGTAAGAATTATTATGGGACATCTGTTGTATTTGCCTCTGTCCCATAATAGTTGGTACATCTGCATGTACTTTTTTTACACTGAATGTAACAATTATTATGGGACAGCTATTGTACTATCTCTGTCCCATAATAGTTGGTATACTAGAGTCATTTATATATAACAGGTAGTGATAGTGCGAAAATAGTACTTTAATTGCCTCAGCATTTTTTAAATAGGTTTTTATGACATCTTAATCATGTACGCAGGGACTGATGGAAATTCCATGGTGTTTGCTAATTTTTATAACTAAAACTATTCAATGTGGAAATTTTAAATAAAAGCTGTATGCTTTAATGAAACTTTCAGCTAGCCTTAACTAACCCTTACAAAAAAAAAAACGGTATGTCAAAGGATGATTTTTCCCTTGAGACCGCTGTACAATCTTCAGTCTTTCGGCAATGTTTATTTAGTAGATTATAAAAATAGGTGAACCAAATACAATGTGATATTTATTATTTACCTTTTATAAAGATTTATTATTTACTGTTTTATAAAGAAATGAATGTGAAAAGTAATCTTTTCATTCAAAATTTTTTTTTTAAATTACCAAAATATGCAAGCCATCTACAATGCAATATTTATTTTATTTACCATTTTATAAATAGCTATAAAAATGTTTTTTATTCAGAATTTTATAAAAATATCAATGAGTTGCTGCATGAAAGAAATGTTCAGAAAATGTATTTTTCCAAAATTTGTAATTAGTTACTTGTCATTATTGGTTTACTTAAATTTTCATGTTTGACAGATATTTTTTATAAATTTATAAATAAAAGAATATAATATGGTTTGCATTTTTAGAATGTAAATATAAAATTATTCTTGTAAATAAACAATCTAATAAATAGTATGTCTATATTTCTGAGATTACATTGTTTGGACTGTTGTCCTCATCTTTATTGCCATATTCACTCCTTTAATATCTATCTATATTTCTAAGATGAGTTATTGTAATTATTTACATTATTCAAACTTTTTTCCTCATCTTTGTTGCCACATTCACTTCTTTAACATCTGTCTACATTTCTGAGATGAGGTATTGTGATTATTTACATTATTTACATTGTTTGGACTGTTGTCCTCATCTTTGTTGCTATATATAGAAAACATAAATTCATTTGCATATACTTGGATTTTATTAAAATTGTGCTCATCATTTTTAAAACAACAAACATTGCCAAGAAATGTATAAAATAATATTGGTGTCAATGGAAAAAGTATTAATTTCACAAATTGCTTTATTGCAGGCATGAAACTTTCATGCCTTTGTTTCTGTTTTTATGACTATTGTTTTTAAATATCCCATATTGTAATAACATTAATAATCAGTTTTGTGTGATAATTTTCAATCCCTGAAAATTTTAAAACCTTTGTGCAATTTGATGAAAGATTATCAAATTTCAGATAGCATTCTTGAATAAAACTGCATCTAAAGCATTTCAGCAAAGGAAAAGAACTTCTTTCAGTTTTTCAAGGGAAAAATAGGTAAAAACAAATTCATGTAATTACCTTTTTATTTTTATTTTTACTCTTTGTTTAATTGTGACATTTATACTTTATTTTAGCATATTTCTCATGTGCAGGTCTCGTTGAGTTGTACATAGATCTATTTTTCAATGTTCCATTAGCTGTTAGAATATTTCGAATTAGCTGCAACAGTTTGTATAACAAGGTTGCCATGGTAATGACTTTTGAAAATGCTCACCTAAAATAGCATAATGTCAACACATAAAAACATCTTTCAACATCCAACTGTTTTTTCAAGTATTCCATTTTTACAAACTTTTCAAATATTTTGCCTCACTCATTTATTATATATTTATAAATAAAAATTGCATGTATTTTATTATTTGCCTTTTTATTCAGACCACAAACCTCTTCTTAGGTGTTATCCTCACAACATTTCAGCCCTTACACCTACAAGTCTTCATCAAACTCTTTATTCAATCAACAAGAATAGACTTTTCATTTCACTTACTATGGTAAGTGGATATTTTATATCTGTTAATAGTTACTAGGTTTATTCACTTTGGTTTGGTTTGTTTTAGAGTACACCAACTCATTGGGTCATTTAATGCTGAAATTTAATATTTTTCTAAATAAAATCTTGTATTTAAACAGCAAAAAAAATTTTATTTTTCATAGTAAGACTGAAGTTACTGTTATATTTTTTCCTTTTAATTATATTTTTTAAATCAATTTCCTTTAGAAACTGGAATCTGTAAAATGAATCAGTATTTTGAAAAAGTTGAATTAGAATTACTGCAGTTTGTCAGTATGTGTTTTATAGTGGATGACTCTTGACATGACACACACACTAGAGGTTCTTCCTTTTTTTTAGGATATACAAATGGGTTATGGTAGTATTTCCAATATGAAGCATGGAAATAATCATTTCTTTTCTAGTTTGGTCTTTCTAATGTGATTCTCCAATATTTGGTTTAATTTTGAACAGTTTATTGTTTTAGCAAGAATTCCATAGGTTCTGCTATTCCTTTCTAATATATTTATTGATTATTGGTTTCAGGTGTGTATATGGGATTTGATGTGTTCCTAATAGCAGATGCCTTTCTTGTTGCAGAATCAGCTCTGTCATTCCCTGTGATACCAATATAGCTTGGTATCCAGCAGAAGACAATATATCTATTTAAGTTATTGATCCTGTTGAGTAGTTTAATAAGTGGGTTTGACATTATTTTGTTTTTTAGTACTGTGATTACTGACATGGAGTCGGTGTATATAATGATTTTTTTATGTTTACTTGAATTTATGATGTCGAGAGCCAAATGGATAGCTTTCACCTCAACACTAAATATGGAAGCTTTGTCTGGAAGTGGTTTTATTAATTTTAATTTATAGTGGTCAGCTGCACATCCAAGTTTATCATCATCATCTGTCTGTATAGATGGACAGGTGATCTGTGTAATCATTTTTGATGGAGAGTAATTCATGATTAGCTTTTGATTTTTGGAACTCACTGAGTTTTAATATGACGTTTGGTTGTTTTATGCTCCAGAAAGGTATTTTCAAGCTGATGGACTCAATTCACTTTTATGTCACTTATCTTTTTCCTTCACTGAACCACTTTTCAGCACTATTAGACACAGGGATTGAACTCACAACTGCCAGGAAACCAGACATGTTTTTTACTCAATACCTTAATCTACTAGGACACATGTTATAAATTGAATAATGACTTTAGCTGAAAATGCCAAAGTTAACATTATGACAACTGAAGAAGGCCTTTTGGACAATGGCTGAAACATTGTAAGTGTAACAAAAAAAGATGAGTTTGCTGGTCCGAATAGTACGGAATATAATAATTCCTTGTTTAAAATATTCCAACATAAATTAAGAATGTGATTTTTTTTCTTTGCAGTTGTTTGAAAATAAACATTCCGGTAAGTACTCTTTTCGTTTTTCTTTTACTTTAGATATCTTGAGGTTGTTTGACAGGTTTTGGCTTGTTGCCCTTCTCCACAAGCTCAAGGACTATGATGTTTCTGGCTGGATATTTGACTTAATCCAATCATTCTTAACAAATTGGGTAATGAAGATTGTGCTGAATGATTATGCTTCTAGATCATTTCACATTAACGCAGGAGTCTCCCAGGTCTTTTTTCTTGGACCTACATTGTTTCTGTTCTTTATCAATGATTTTGTCATTTCCCAACAAGGTATTTATGCTGATGACCCATCTATTTACTCCTGTCTTAATAATAAATCCAGTATGTTGGACAAAGTAACACTGGAGCTTCTCTTGAAAATCACCTCCAATCAGATGTTAACTGGGGCAAAGAATGATTTGTAAATGTGAAAACCTCCAAATTGAATCTACTATTCTTTAATCATCATGGAGTACCGTTTTTGCTCTCCATCACATGACTGATGCTAACCTCAACAAAATTATGGCAATAATAAATGAAATAGTGGTGAGATACAGGAAGACTAGTTGATCCATCTTTATAGAACTGCCTAAAAATCCAGGTGTGAATGAATGCAAGATCCATTGTATTCTCCTCTTAATGAGCCACATAACTAAGATCATATCCAGATTTTGATGAATAGAGTGCAGAACAAAATTAGACTGCAAACAAGGCAAGAATGATGTAGCTTTGTTAAAAATACTGGGACAAGAAATGCAATCTTTATGATCAGAATGCTGTCGTTCAAGACACTGGAACAAGAAATACAATCTTTATGATTAGAATGATATCAATGCAATCAATACAAATGCAGAACAATATATACCTATGTTTCATAGATTATGCAAAAGCATTTGATAACGTATCACCCAAGGATCTATTTGAACTGCTACGAAATCATTTGCTTAGGATCAAATAGAGAAAGTTGAAATTTCTCGGACACATAATGAGGAAGGGGCATTTGGACATATTGAAAGCAAGAGAGACCGGGTGAAATAGAGGGTAAGCTACCTAACAAATTTGTATGAATGAATAGAGCATGGACAGGGTGAGATGATAAGGAGACAAACATTGTTTAGAGCTACAAAGGATTGGAAGTTGCTGTGAGTGATGATCGTCCACGTCCTTAAGGGACACAGCACATAAAGAAACGGAGAATTTGAAGTGTTAACTTACTGTGGAACTATAATTATTCGTAAGATTGTATTTTTCCTTCTTTTTATTTTTCTTTCTTTTTTTCTCATATACTTTTTTTCTTCATCTCTTAGTTTCAGAAGCTGCTTTTCTCCGCAACATTGTCAGACAATTCCCAGAAATTAAAACAGCTGAACCTCTTTCAGCCACGACTGTTTTCTGCTACAAAGAACAGCATGCAGAAGCCAGGAACCAAAACGGAACCTTCAAAAAAAGGTGAGAATTTCGCTTTGTCTAATTATCCTTTTATCTTGTGTTAAAAAAAAAAAAAGAAAGAAAAAATTTTGAAAAATAAAAGTGTTGTAAAAAGAAAAGAAAAAGGTATTTCATATAAATATAGAAACTTGTTTCTGCCTTCAGTCAGTATGGCTGATTCTAACCTTCAGAAGAGTAACTCATTGCACTTTATTGGTTTCATGTCTTTCACTGACATGGAGCAGAATGGTTATATTGAATCAGTTGCTAGATTTGCTGCTAGGAAAGTTGGTTCTTGCACATTTATAAATCTACCATTTGTCTGTGCATTGAATATTGCTGCTATATCTGGTCTTTTGCTCTGGCTATATATCTCTAAATTCTTGACACTATCCAAAGAAGGATCTGCAATGTTATCAATTCTGACTTGGTATCTTGACTTCAGTCACTTTCCCCACCCTGTCGTGTGGCTTCCCTGTGTCTTTTCTACAAATATTTTCATGGCAATTGTTCTAATGAGCTTTCCTCCTTGCTACCTAGATTGGCAACTAGGTCTTATCGTTTCACTTAATGTAACCATAAGTTTTATTCTAATAATTTCTTTTCTTACACTTCTTGCCTGTGGAACTCTCTTCTGGTTTCTTGGTTCCTTGGCAACTATAATTGTCAAAAATTTGAATGCAATGCCAAGTGCCATCCTCTGTCTTTTCCTGTTTTTTATTATCCTTTCTCATTAAAGTTTTCTCGTTCTCTTTTACTCTCAGTAACCCCTTACAACTTAGTGGCACTTGAGTCTGGAGTGATTTTGAACCACAATAGATGAATACAGGATACGTCTTTTCCCAGTACTGCTTGCCTTACTATTCTCTTTATTACTTTTAAGAGATGGATTCTTGCCTTTCCCAAGGGCATTAGTGAGTAGTGAACTCAACAGGTTTGGCTGAAATTTGAACTCACCCTGCCAATTCTATTTGCCATGCCAGTAATTGTTATGCCACATACACATCCTATTAAAATATCTTTATATATTTTCCACTATAAGAGTAGTTATGGCTCTCCACAGTTTCTTCTCTTTTGTTACTCTGAGTAATACCTGTTCCTTTATAAGCCATGTATATATCTATACTTCTCAAAATATGTATGTATGTATGTATGTATGTGATCAGATGTTGTTTATGCATTTCTATGGTTTTCATTTGATTTCAATGCATTTTTTTTTGTTTGACAGATAATTCTTCAGTGCCAGTTTTGTATCCAAATTGTTGATGACAATGGCTCTTCACTACTTCCTGTCCATTATAACTCTCAGCAATGTTTTACTATCTGTTCTTGGATATATATCTTTCATAAAACCATTTAATAAAAATAAACACTTTAAATTATTACAATATTATCTATAATTCTCAAAATGTGTGTGTGTGTGTGCGTGATCAGATGTTGTTTATACGTTTCCACAGTTTTCATCTGATTTTGATGAAATTTTTTGTTTGATAGACAATTCTTCATTGCCGGTTTTGAGTCCAAATTACACATTCCCCTTCTCTTGGCCAAGATTTAAGATCTCTCAAGTGAGGTTACTTTTTCCATTGCATAAAGCCTACTATTACAGTTTTAAGGTGTTGCTTTCATTGTCGTTTATAGCTGTTCCCAATTTAAATTTTGTTTATTGTCCTGCCAGTCTTTGCATTGCTTTCACCACAGTAATAAGTAAGCTTACTTTTTTATTACTCAACATTTATTTTTCCAACTTTTCCTAAAGTTATTCAAGCTTAGTGATCCCTGTAGCTTTAGAGTGTTCTTTTCTGGTATTTGCCCACACATTCCATTTGACAATTCATACTTGCATAAGACATGCCACCAAAGAAAAGAATTTGCCTAGGTCACAATACCACTCCTGCTAGGTGCACCATGTGAATAAGTGATAACGAATCGGCTTTAGAACATTCAGTTTGCTGATCTAAAAATGCTTTTTGGAATGCTTCAATCAGAGCCACTGAGTCCAAAGATCAATATAGCCATCGGCTTTCCCGAAGAGCATACCTGAACCCTTCTGCACATGAGGCTGAAAATGATGATCAAAGGATTCAACGGCCAAGGAGAAATGCCTCTTCAACAACTGAACGCAAAAACGCCCCTCTTCAGGGACACTCCCCATTCAAATTGTTAACCTCCCCGCCATTTGGGGATGTGCCTCAGTTGCACCCAATTGTTGTTATTAATATTGATTTTTGGGTGCACTGACTTTAAACTTAAACTGCTCCAACTGAACAGTAAAAATTCCCAGTAACGAAAGACCTGGTTGAAGACATGTTATACTGCTTGTCTTTAATATATAACTAATTAAAATTGGTAAAGTTCTACCTTTTGTTGAATTTTTTTCAAATATCATTATGCAAAATACAATGTTTAAGTAGTCTCTTAATAGATTATCAATATGTGTCTTTGTAGTAATATGGAAGTTATATTGCTTAAGACAATATTTTCTTATTTTCAGTCAAGGAGAGTAAGACACCTGTCCTCAAAGCAGCAGAAGACATTGCCCAAGAATTTGTAATTCCTAAATGTCTCACAGTAAGATTCAAGATTTTTTTATTTATATAATTTAGACTAGTATAAATTGCTTCTTCTTGTAGAATTTGTGTGCAGCAAGATGGGGTCTGTGTGTATTAAGTCAATCACCTTTAAAGGGCCCATTATTAATTCTTTGCAATTCTATAAAAAAAAAAAAAATTTAATGATAGTTTACTGATAAGTAAGGTCTCCAATTCAATAGATAATGAAACTGGTATCAAAATGAAGGAAATTTATTTCTTTTCAGAACTACGAGCATTGATTGATAAGTAAAGTCTCCAATCCTATAAAACAAGTTTTAGACCAGATAGAATAATGAAACTGATAGCAAATTGAAGGAAATTTATTTCTCTTCAAAATGACATGGGTTGATTGATAACTTTATCTATAAGTAAAAAGAGATCTAAGAATGAAATGACAAATGTGCATGCAAACACTTAAGATTTTTGAAACTGTTGTTTGAAAAAAAAAATGTTAACACAAATATTGCTAATCCTATCATCATGATTGTCATCATCAGTAAGAATCATTTCAAGTCCACTGCCAGTCTCATTTCTTCCATAATTACAATGACAGTAATTCTCCATAATGTCTTATCTCAAAACACCTCTATTTCCTCAGGCACTGTTAAAGTGTAAATATACATGACCCTTGCACATGCTTTCCACTGGCTGGCCAATGATCATCCCACATTCCAATTCTCGATCTCATCCATATTCACCAAAAGCTGGGGAAGAATATGCTGCATGCTTGGAAGATAGAAATGCCATGTTGAGAAATAATGCGAACACTGTAATCTGTATTACTTGTGTTTTATTCAGGGCTTTGCCTGCTAGATTGGGTGGGTAGATAGTGTAATATTTGGGACAACTTCCACTTTGTCAACTTTTCCTTCTGCGAACTCCTCACCCATCTACTCATCCCGATATGGTGGCTGGCAATACGAAAGTGGAGGCTTCAGAAGTGGACACATCTGTCTCCCACCAAGGGTAGATCAGAACTCTCTCCAATCCCAAGCATGTCTGTTAATATAGACCAACACTTGGATATGCCCTATTTCCGGTTTTGTTGCCACTTGATCCTCAAAAATCCTTCATCCACCCCTTTACTTCCCATTATCTTTTGCTTAAAGTGGATGCTGCTTAGAACAGGGGTTTTCAAACTGTGATCTGCGGACCACAGGGGGTTCACAAGGACAAGATAGGGGGTCCGTGGACAGCAAACACTTTTTTATGGGTGACTGCAACTTATAAGTGCTTATAAGTAACTTATAGGCCAATCATGAAATAAATTGATTCAATAAACTATTTCATAGATTTGATATACTAATATAATTTGATCTTAAATTGATAAAGATAATGGATTCTATTTATGCAGAGAAGGAACCAAAGGATTTGAATTTTGGATCTATTTTGTGATTTCCGGCTTTTTCATTGGCTGTTAGGCATTTGCATTAATGCAAAATTATGTTATATTCAGCAAATATTTATGTATAAATTTCATAAGCGTTTATAAGGGGGTCCCTAAGGTAAAGCCTGAAATATAAAGGGGTCCACAAGTCAAAAAGTTTGAAAACCCCTGGCTTAGAAGACCGACACTTTAAGAGGAAAGATTTGTTGGTCTACCAAATAGAAACTCTTGAGATCGAGATATAACCATTTCCCTTTCAATGTGGGTGTCCATAGTATCAGAAAAGCAACCTTTGGCTTCACCTGTTATCTGCACTGAGTAGTGAAGTCTTAGACTCAGTGGAAACAGGATGAGTAATAATTGAGCAGTACTGAATAAAAACAAGGCTAGATATCTCTAAACCTGGGCAGTGGAACAAGAAAAATCTTTGTAGATTAAATAAAAGTATTCTGTTTGAAATTCCCTGATGCTTACCTGGTTCAACAAACATCTGAAGATGGTTGAAGGACACAAGGAAGGAAACATTGGGATAACAACAACAAAGATGAGGATTTTTTTTTTTTTTTTTTTTTTTTGTAATTTTCAACATGTTTCTTTTATTTTCATTTTTAATTTTTTTAATGATTTACAAATCTTTTTTTTTTCTTTCTTCAGGAAAAATATGTCATATGTACACCATCATACAAGCCCTTGATTCTTTTCCATTTGATATCAGCCATGAAATATCGAAATGTGTTGTGTTTCACAAAGTCTACAGAATGTACGCACAGGTAAGAAGGTAGCTTATTTTTGCAAAGACAGACTTATTCTTAAATGGTCTGGGATTTTTTTTTGCTTTTTTTATGTTTTAGTTTAAAACTAAACTGTTTTTGTACTAAGCTTCTGTGCTACAATCATTGTCTCTTTAAATGGTTAGTACTTTTATTCCAAACCAAATCATCTTCTTTGTACATGTTCCTTCAGGATATGGACAATCATGGTTCTCCACAACTTCCTATACTTTGTAGCTCTTAGCAATGTTTGTCCCTGTTCTACCATTCATTTATGCCAGATTGTTAAATAAAGTTATTCACTGTTTCCCACTGTCATTCTTGCCTTCATTATATCCTGTGAGTGTCCAATTTTCTTCCTCTTTTCCTCTTTCTTCTTTATGTGACCCAGAAATTTCAGCTTTCTCTTTTTGATTCTATCTTTAATTGTTCTTTTTGTTCCCATTTCACATCTGTTGCCATCCCTGTCAGCCGGGACTGTAGAATATGCTGACTGCACCTCTGCAGCCCCCCCAATAAGTAGTTCTGGGTATGAGGATAAACTACATCCAGCAGCAAGGCCTCTGATTGGAAGATTGGAAGTTTTCAGGAGCATAGAACCACCACTTAATTGCTTTTGTTCTAAGGTCCACCCTGACCCAGAGTGGTAACAACTGTTGTAGTCCCAGTTATGGGTAAATACTGAACACCATTAGCAAAGTATAAAAATACCAACAATTTATTAAAAAAAAAAAAAATCACCAACAATACATTTTTATAGTAAAATTACCAGCAATACATTTTTAGAAATTACCAACAATACATTTTATTAGCCTTTGAGCTAAGAAGAAAGAAAAGAAAGTAGCAAACCTATGTGAAATTCTTTTTGATATAAAAGGAAGAAAAAAATTATATTAACAAGGAAAGAGTGTCAAGTGAAAGGTTTCATTTCTGTCCACCACATCCAGCATTGAAGTTCTCGCCAGTGTAAGATCATTCACCAATTATATTATCAGTCTTTTATCCAAACACGTGGCACTTCAAAGAATTTTCTCTAAACAATCCAAGAAAGCTAAATATTTGAAACTATTTCTCTTCGTCTAGTTTTGAACATATTCAACTGTATATCCCTTCTGTAAATAACAAACTCTCTTGCCTTTGTTTTAAACATTTTTGAATATTATTTTATGTCAGATCATTTAATCTGTTGTATAAACATTTCCTCTTGATGACAATTTGTTAAAACTATAGACTTGAGCTACTGACACTACTTCAAGTGTGTAAATTCGTAAATAAATTCCTTATCTTGTTTTGTTTAAAATTACCTGTGTGTTTCCTCATCATTATCACCTTCCATTAATTTTCTTGGTGTTGGTAAATCAACTGTTCATTTTAACCCTGAAGCCCCATGCCACTATAGCACTTTTTCTTCCCTGACAGAAGAAGATATTAGAAATTCAGATATTGACTCCCATTTTTTTTTTCTTTCAGGCTATTTCTGCTTGCCAAGTTCATCAAAGAGTTCAGAGTTGCCAAAATAACTTCTGAAGTGAAAAGGGATCAGAAAAAGAAAATCCTTTCCTGGTTTGAAGCCCAAAAAATTGATTTGTAAGTTCTATGCTAACAGTTTCCTTACACCCAGTAACCCCTTGCATCTTAGTTACTTTATTGCCTTGCTTGGGGGTGAAATTATTAAAAAATAAAAATTACTGCATTCCTTCATTTTTCCCATTGTCATCTGTGCCTTTTTTATAAATATTTTCATGGTAATTGTTCTGATGAACTTGCTTTTTCAGTTCCTTAAATAAAATTTAAATAAAAAAAAAAAACGATTAAAATATAAATATTAAAATAATTAAAAAGAGGAATATCAATTAATACAAGATATCTTAAAATATTTAATTTGTTTACACATGTAAAATGAGTGTGACAAAATGTTTGAATAGGTTAATGAGAGGATGAAGCCAGTGGTCAACGTGTATGTGTGTATGTATGTATGGATATATATATTATTATTGGAAATGGGGAAAAAGACCGCAGCACAAGCCCAAACTTCATTACAAAGATTGCCTTAAAGGGTCACTATACAAGTGCAATATTGGTCTGGATAAAAGGGAGACTTTAGCTGAAGACTGGGTTTGCTGAAGAGCTGGTATTGCTGATGGCGCCAAGATCTTCCATGATGCATCACAAAAATATGCAGAACTGAAGAGTTGTTTGGAAGGGATCCCTAAATTGCTATGAGGTGCCAACCTGGCCATGTGCCCAATGCAATTGGTTATGTCTGTCCAGAGCGGGTCTGCTTGGTCACCAGTAGTCACACCAACACCAGCAGTTTGTTGTATATGATGATTTCGTAATGGCATGCTTTGAATATCCGACCTGCACTAGAGTGTGCAAGTCTAGGTCAGGCCCGACAAGGCATATGAAAGGGCACATTGGAAGTGATGATGATTTCCTTCCGCTACCCAAAGATGATTTGATGTGCCACATATGTTACAAGAAATGCAGATCAATGGCTGACTTTATGAGCCACTGTTGTTCTCACAACTGATAAATGCAGTGTTGTGATGGGTGGGGCGTTTACATGAAGGGCTGGATGTGTCAGTGATGGTCATACTCACTTTGCGATTTGACAGCTACTTTATATATTATAGGGGCACATGGCCGAGTAGTTAGAACGTTCGCTTTCTGACTATGCGACTTGGGTTCAAATCTCACCATGGTCGATTTGTCAGGAAGGAGACTTCCTTTTGTTATTGGTCTGGAAGGGACATTCCCAGCATGCAACACCTTTGGGAAGTGCCTGAAAACCATACCATGAAGTGACCCAAGTCTTGTGAGTAAAATTGGGTAGACAGAACCTTTAGGGGGGCTATCAATAGCCTTGCTAGCACAAAGTCACAAGTCATCATGACTGAGAGTTTGAGCATGCTGGCCTTGTTCAGATTGTTGATCATGCTAGATAACATGCTCTCTCTCACTCAGAAATGAAGGTCTGCTCGGCATATATATATATATATATATATATATATATATATATATATATATATAAATATCCAATGTCAGTAACACAACTAAATTTCATGCCGTTTATACAATCTTCAGGTGTGGAAATTCTAGCTGTTATTTGTCGCGCTCTCGTGATGGTGATTCAAAATTGTGTGTACAAATGTGTCTATTTAAAATATAGAATTAACTATTAATAATTTATATCATTTAAATTGATAAGTTTGAAAACTGGAGAATTAAAAAATAATAAATAAAAAATTTAAAAAACAAATTATTTGAATTTGGGTTTGAACGTAAACAATATATTAAGGAGAGTAACTCTCATATTCTTTTAGCATAAAATACCCAAGTTATGCCGATTAATGTAAACTAGAATGCAGATTAGAAATATAAAGCTGCAAAAATAGATGAACAAATAATAGGTAGGGACTATATATCATATTTCTAACAGTGAAATTATATATACACATGTTATAAATTAATCAAGTACAGTAATATTGCATTGTATGTGTGTATAGGTATATAAGGAAAGTTATTGATAATGGGTCCTGAGAATATCAAAAGCTGTTGCATATTAATATTCTTAAAATCCATTTTAGAATCACTTTTAATTGGGGTCAATATTTTTGAGCAGGTGCTTGGATTTATGGATATGTGTAGAAATCAGTTTGGACCTTGTGTTCAGCCAGTTAGGGTTATTTAAGTGTTTTAATATAATAAGCTTCTCCAACGAACATAAGTTACATCTGTCTCCTTTTCTGTTGTATGGCTTAGCTTTCGTGATTATTTCCCAGCTAATGGCTGGGTTCGTATGGTTGATTTTTAATTGCCAAACATACTTTGAAAGTGTTGTGTAGTTTTTGTATTTGATATTGCTCCATGTCATTCTGTGATGGTCAAAACATGATTGTCATCTGTTCTCTGTGGATCCAAAGTAATATTTACCATCATTTAAAAAGAAATATTACCAGCCATACGTTTGACTCTCAACAAAAAAATCTTTTACCAAAGCATGCCAATGAAACCTGATCTACTGATTTCTTACAAAGAATATATATTCTATTCATATGAACATATCCTAAAAATTTTTTTCTGCATTAAATAACCCACTGAGTTGTTGATATGCCGTAAAATAAAATAAACCAAACTAATAATGTGTATATGTATATTTCCTACTAGTTTCTGTGTTCAAACCCCAGGTAAAACCTTGGATTTTGAAAGTTGATTTTCAAGGCTGGGTGATCTCTCTTCAGTTGGGAGACAGGTACACCACAGTTTTCTTACCCCCAGTTCCCTTTGGGAGCTCACAGGCATTGAAATGCTGGTTGTTGTATGGTCACTGAACTTAACCAACATTGAGCCTAGTCAGTACCTAGATGGGTGACTGCTTGGGAATGCCATGTGCTGTAAGCTTGGATGATCAGTTGGTCTAATGGATAACTGCTCCCCCCCCCCATCTATTAGTTATGTAAATCATTATTATCTCCCCAAAATTCTTAAAATCTTTTTTTTTTTAAATCATTGCCACTAGCACGCAAGGGGTTACAGAGAGCAAGAGTTAAAAAGAGATGTTTGAAGGATGGATAAAGAGATGGACGGGGACCAAGATCAAGGCATCAGATGATGTCGATTGACATTACATTTGAATATTTGAAGATTATAGTTATCGAGGAAGCATGTAGGAGGAAGGGAATTCCACTGTCGGGAAGTACAAGAGAAGAAGCTGTTGGAGTAGAAGAGACTGTTACATTTAACTGTATCGACAGTAAAAGGGTGGGACCAAGATGCCAACCTAGTAGCCCGCTTAAATTCATGCAGTTGGGGTACCAGTGAAAATAGCTCGTCATTGCAGTTACCATGAAAATATTTGTAAAAAAGACTGAGGGAAGCCATATCACGTCTATGACAAAGTGACTGAAGTCGAGATGCCAGGTCAAAACCTATCACATTGCATAAAAATTATTTTCTGGCTTTAAATAACCTTTCAAAAGGTTGATAAACTATAAAAAGCAAATCAATCAGTAATCCAGTTCCCCTTGGACTAGATTAAACTAAGCTCAGTGAATATTTGTTTTATTTATTTTCTTTCTTTATTCTTTTTTAGACTTGTCTGTACAGATTCAATGGCTCGAGGAATGGACCTCAGTAATGTACAGTTGGTTGTATCGTACGACTGCCCTAACCATGTTGAAACCTATGTTCATCGGGTTGGTCGTACTGCAAGGGCTGGGAAAGAGGGAACTGCAATAAGTTTACTTCAAGTCAAAGAGGTAAGTGGATAATAATTTTTCCTTTGAAAATGTGGCACTTAGTTGCAAATACAAATTAGTGATGATCTATAAAGGAGAAAAAAAAGTGGAGCATTTTCTCCAGGTTTTAAAATTCCATCAGGATCTAATTGGCATTCCAAGAATTCTTTTTTTTTTAAACTTGGCATTATATAGTGTCTAGTCCTTGAGAATAATATTTTCCATAAATTTATGGCAAAAAGGACTGGTCTGGCTTATTTCCAGCTATGAGAGCCAAACAGAGAATTCCATTTTTAACAGTATCTGTGATACAGTCTCTTCTTGTTGAGCTAACACTTTAATCACCTAAGTCCATGGATTTCTGAATTTTGTGGTATAGTAGTGAGTTCAATCCCAGGACTGGGTAGTACAAACTCGAATTCAGTAGAAACAGGGTGAACAATAACTGAGCAGTACTAAAAAAAAGTTGATATCTGTGAGACACGGACAACAATAACAATCTACCGCCATAGATTATATAAAAGGTTCAGTTCAAAATTGACTGAAGGTTATCAGGATTGACACAGACCATAAGAAGGTCAGAGGTCACAATGGCCAAAATGTTGTGCTAATGGCAACAAAGATGAGGATAATAGTCTGAATGTAAATAATGTAAATAAACTTTTGATATTTGTTCCAATTTGAGGAAATGGGTTGGGCTGAATAATTTTCAGCACCCCCTATGTAAGAATTATGAATGATATTTTACTTTTTTCTTTTTTTTTATTTAAAAATACCCCTCTCTTTGCCCCAAATTAAAAACTAGATATATTCACCATGAAATACCTGTACTGCATATAATTTACAAAGAAAAGTAAATATAAAATATAAGTATCTATATTTCCTGCCATGTTTTGAAATTAATAATAAAGAAGAAACAGTTATTATCTAAAAAAAAAAAAAAAAAAAAAATGTACATCTGTTCTGTGTACAGAGATTATTTTCTACTCTTGTGTACCTTTGTGTTCAGGTTACTCATTTCAAGACGTTTCGAAAGAAGTGTGGAAGCACAGAGAACTTATCCAGGTTACGGATTAAAAATGAAGATCTAGAACTTCTGATTCCAAGATTAAAGGAAGCCCTTGAGTCGTTACCACAAACATTGAAGGTAAGACATTTTCTTAATCTCTTGACAATAGATTCTTCAAAAGACCAGTTTTTGCAGACACAGCTGCAAATATATTAATTCATCAAAAGAAAATAACATAATACAACAGTACTTATCTGAAATATATTCACAAAATATTCTGGTCTGTGTCTGGACAGATTCTGGAATGTTTATAAATTCTGGACAGATTCTGGAATTTGTCCAGACAGATCTTGAAATATGTCTGAAAAGATTTTGGTCTGTCTGGACAGATTCTGGAATTTGGTCAGATTCTGGACTTTCTCTGGGCAGATTTTAGATTGTGAACAAATTCTGGAATGTGTCTGGTCAGGTTGTTGAATAAAAACAAAGAAAAATGTATTTTAATTCATTGTTATGAACAACTTAAAAATTTATTAAAAAAATTAATGTTATTCATTTTAAATTATGTTATTATAAGTGATTGCTTTCTATAACAATAATCATTAATATAAACATGTCCTTTTGTAAATGCATTTCAGTTTTATTGTCCTATTACCGAAAAATATATTTAGTGGGTACAATGGGTAGACAGACCTTTTTTTTTCTTAAACAGTAAAATTAACATCTACCATCAACCAAGAGATCAAAAATGTACCCCTCTCAGCAAGAATCAAATCTGTATTCTCTTTAACCTGAGAAACCACCTTCATAACAGGCATGTTTTACTACTTAACTACTAGAAGCCATGACAGCAAAACAAGGCTCAAAATTACTTAAAAATTACTTTGTTGATGTTTTGAGTATGAAAATAAACTTAATCGTTACAGTAAGTCCCCATGTTACAACAGTTTAGACTCATGATGATTTATGGTTATGGTGCAATCTCCGTTAATCTTGTTTCAACTTATGCCATTTGCCTTGTATATATGGCACGGTGGAAGAATACATTGTCATACAGTGCTAAAGTGAGGAAGCAGTGTGAGTCATTTCTTGGTTGTACGCCATATTGAATTGTTGGTGAGTGAGTGCTTATTCACGAAAATTAAAAAGAAATAATTTTGCTGTACACTTTTCTGGTCTTGCGACCTTCATTAGGTAAAGAGTGGATATTTCCACATATTATTAAAAGGAATTAATTTTTCTTATGTTTTTCGATGTTAAATGTTCTCGATATTAGACATTCCCTTTTTTGTGTGTCAGTGACCCAAATGTCTTCCTTAACTCATATATATATATATATATATATATATATATATATACACACATGCACTATCACTATTTACATTGTTAGAACTGTTGTACTCATCTTTGTTTCCATATTCACAACGTTTCGGTCATTGTATGCTCCAGCCTTCTTCAGGTGATTTGGATTTTGAACTGAACCCTTTATTTCATCCACGGGGTAAATTGTTCCAGTTGCCATGTGCCATGCATCTTCCAGAAATGTTGTGAATATGGTAATGACGATGAGGACAACAGTTCAAACAATGTAAATAGTGTAAATAATTAACATACCTCATCTCAGATATATATATATATATAAATATATATATATATATATATATATATATATATATATATATATATATATATATATAAAGCAGCAGTAATTCTTTCTTTCAGACATGTTTGGTTGAATAATATTGACAAGTTCTATCTATCCAAATTAGTTTATATACTATATTAGTTGTTACTTTTATAGAAAGCAATCCGTCAGAATAACAATATTTAAAATGAATTGAAGATGAATTACAAAATAATTTCAATAAATTTTTCATTTTTTTAATAATTTTTTAAGTTGTTTATTACAATAAATTAAATTTATTATATAAATTTACCAAAGTTCATTTTTATTTTTTTTTACATTTTTTTCTAAGTACTTTTTTTTTTCTGACTACTTTCAAATGTTGCTACATTTGTTTTCAATTTTCAAAAAAGATTTTGAAAAATAAAAATGGAATTTGAAAATGTTAAAATATTGGATAGATGAACTTTTCGATATTATTCACCCAAACACACAATAATTCAAACAACTAGAACCAACTCTAATGTAAATAATGCCTACGAAGACATTTATTATAAATGGCATGCTCTTAACGTTTTGTCATCAAGTTTTCAAATTGATGTCCATTATGATCCAGACATTGCTGACAACATGACACAATGGAATCACAAGCAGCAATCAACATTTCAAAAGATTTTAAGAATTTTTTTGAAATGATAATTATTTACTAATACAAGTCCTACTAATTAACCCATAGCTGGAGGGAGAAGTAGATTCATACCTTTCCCAAGGGTATTTGTGCGTAAGTGAATATAATGAACTTGACTGGAATTAGAACTCAGCTCTCCAGTTTCATTATCCGTTACACCAACCTCACATTTAAGCTTACAGCACCTGGTAATCCCAAGCAGTCACCCATTCAATTACTGACCAGGCTCAATATTTCTTAACTTTGGTAATTATACAGGAACTGGTGTTTCAACATATGACTTCCCCATTTGTTGGATTACTGATGGTTATGTTAGAATATACTTAACTCTATAGCAAGCAGCTATCTAAAATATATTGGATTAAAAAATAAATCCATTAATTCTTTAGGAATTGTTCTCTCTCTCTCTCTATATATATATATATATATTTTTTTTTTATTTTCAGAATGAGAAGAAAAGAAGAAATACAAAATCAGTTGACCGTGGGATATGAAATATGTTCAGATGTACAGAAAAAAACATTTTCAAGTAATAAAATAATTTTTAATTTTTTTTTTGTTTTTTTCTTCCTTTGCTATATTTTTGAATTTTTAATTATTCTTTTTTTTTTTTTTTTTTTCAATTAAGTTTGGGTGAAAAAAAAAAAAGCCACCCTTAACTACATCAGAAATTTCTATCACTTGCCTTAAAACTGCAATGACTGAAACTTCTGTCATCTGCAATTAAGGGGTTAATGTAGAATGCCTATTTCTCATAGGGGGTGTGGTCTTAATAGATCAAACCCAAGACATCCCAAACATCAAAGGTTACCTCTAGCAACCTTTAGAGAAATATTTTTCAAACATTTTTATCTTGCGACACACTTATTTTATGATAATCAAAAAAAAGAGTACACTTTTAGTGATATATTTATTAACACAAACAAAACAATTTATTATATTGTATTTATTTTATCCTATGACCCATAAGGTCACCATGTGTACTGTAGCCACAGTAGAAATAGTGTTTCTTGGGCAATATAGTCTGACAAAGCCCAACTCTCTCCAGGCTAGTTTTGAATTCAGAGTTTTTCTTTCTCCTAGATCTGTTGTTTCTCAAGGTTATAGAACCCAGTTTGTCCTGCTATTTAACCACAGCTGGTGGGAGAAGATGATTCATACCTTTCCCAACAGTATTAGCACATAAGTGAATGTAATGAATTCGACTGGAATTCAAACTCGGCTCTCTGATTCCTCAATCCGAGCCAATATCCATTATTCAACTGTGCCTCCCCTATATACTGTATATACTCAGGTATAAGCCAACTTTATGTATTGTGTGACCACTGAATTTTTTTTTTGAATGAATTTTAACCCTCTCCAGAAAAAAATTTACTTGTTTATAGTGTAACTGGTTATTGAAAATGCATGATTTTTAACCTCTTCAAAAAATTGTCTGCATATAGTACAACTCCCTATATTTTGTGTAAAAAAAAAAAAAAAAAAAAAAAAAAAAATAAAATGAAATAAATAAAAAGCTGATCATAAAAACTTGCACTATACTTAGGTAAATATGGGAATTTGTAATAAAAAGATAATAATTAGAATTCTTAAAAAAAATTTAAATTTATTTTTTTCAGTTTATTATAATTTCACATTTAATGAGATATTTGAGATTGAGTTTCTTTTTTGTTTTTTAGAATTTCTTTGCAAGTTCAAATTTTGGAGAGTCATACTCTTAAATATTCTTCCAAGAATTGATGGAGTTTTGTTTTTAATTGCAGTAAAGCTTTTATATTATTTTATATATTATGTATACATTTATTCAGTATAACAATGTTATACTCGTATAATCAATTTAAAGGGGTCCTAATTTTGATAGGACACCTACTGTGCTTTGAACTTTTAGAAATAATTAATGACCTTTAAAAATTTTCACAGTACATTTATGATCCTCATGCAGCACAAAATCACTGATCAAAAGATAGATATGAAAAGACTGAGATAGATGAATTAGATACATAGATAGATCAATCTCTAGTGTAATGAAGAAGAATATCAAACATTCATCCACCTATTTATCTAGGCCAATGTTTTGCAATTATTTCTTTTTATCTCACAGCATATTTGTACCTATAGTTAAACTTCCACAGCACTTAAATTATGACGATTAAAAAAAAAACAAAAAATAAGTGTATACTTTTTAAGATATATTTATTAGCACAAACAAAACAATTTATTATAATTTGTAATAAAAAGATAATAGTTAAAATTCTTAGAACAAACTTATATTTATTTTTTCATTATAATTTTACATTTAATGAGATATCTAAGATTGAGGGGTTTTTTTTTTAGAATATCTTTGTAACTTTGGATTTTGGGCAGGCATACTCTTAAATATTCTTCTAAGGATTGATGAAGTTTTGTTTTTAATATTGTTAATTACAGAAAATTTTTCTTTTTATATTTTATATATTATGTAAATCTTTATTTATTCTAACATTAATATACTCCTATAACTAATTTAAAGGGATTTTAATTTTGACTGGACACTTATTATGCATTGGATTTCTCTCGAAAATAATTCAATGACCTTTAAAAAATTTTGTGGTACACCTACAATGCTCTCAACATACAAATCACTGCTTGGGGTAATTGTGTATATAATCCTAGAATCTAATAGGAATTGGGTAATCTGTGATTTGTCTTATAGTGCAACACATCTTTCATGCATTTAATGAATCTATTTGGTTGCTATTTATAGATAATAAATTATAAATAAATTATTGAATTGGACAAAGTCTGACAATTATTTTAAGACATTTTTTATGTTTATACGTTCTTTTTATAGATACAAATATTTAAGTAAATGCTCTGTTTACAATAAACAGTATTAATGACATTTACTGGCCTGAATGTCCAAGAAATTTTCATAGAAAATATGCGTCCTCTGGCAGGAATCGAACCTGTATCCTATACAGAACAGTCATATATTGACCTTTCTAACGGAATGGCTCATCTGTAGCTCAATTGGTAAAAGCACGTCAGGCTATATGATCTGCACGCAGATGCTCCAGAACTCACTGTCATATAGGAGGACTGATATTATATAACAGTTCAATACATTTTTTTTTGGTTTCTAACAACATTTTCCTGTTTCTTAATACTTTGCTTAGCTTTTGGAAGGCATCTTTTGCTATCCCAGTGTGCCTTTGGATTTTGGTGTTGCACTTTCTGTCCTCTATTAAAACACTTTCAAGATACTCAAAATTTTTTACTTGTTTGATTTTGGTATTTCAATTTTTTAATTTACATGTTGGGCTGTTCCAGTTCATTTTATCTTTTTGAAATTAATGTTTAGTCCTTTCTTCTAGCTTTCCTTCACTGCCTTCTGTAGGACTTCTTGTAGTTTCTTTTCTGTCTCTGCTATCAACGCCATATCATCTGCATATATTACATTGTTAAGATTGTGGCTGTCAATAATGAATCCTAGTTGAACTTCTAATTCTCTCAGAATCACCTCACTATAGTCCGGTGAGAAGACACATCCTTGTCTTATACCCATGGCGTTCTTACACCCCTTTCTATTTTTGAATATTTACTGAACTTGTATGGAGGAGGTTTGTAGTCAGTATAATTTTCTGAATTATTCTAGTACCCTCCCCACCCAAATATGTCAAACTATTATCATATGTTTAGGTTTATTACACTTCTAATTGTTGCTTTTTAAAATAATAAACATTCCAGAGAAGTGAAGGTAGTTAAAACAATAGTGGTGTCAAAGGAATGTCCTTTTGACACTGTTTTTTTTTTGTGACCTTGAAGGTCCAAGATTGTTGATATTATTTATTTATATTTCTTTATATTCATTTCCTATTTTTTATATTTTTATATTTATATTATTAATATTTATTTTACTTATATTTTATATTTACATTATTTGTATGTTATTCTATATTTTTATTCATACTAGAATTTTTTGCAACACATGTTGAAATTATCTCAGTATTTAGTATTGTAGAAATTATTGCTGACATTTTTTGTTGAGATTTACAAACTCTACGTTTTGTTCAATTTCACATACCAATTGATGAAATTTAAATAAACTGATTTGTTTGGCAAAATACTTAGACAAAAATCCTACTTTGCAGTTTAATAATTTCTTTAATTTTATAGGATTTCATGGCAAACAATATTTTTTAAGAAAATTTCTTTTTTTGCTTTTTCCTTTTTAACTGCAAATAATAAATTCTCAGGATTTCTTACTGCTTAACATGCAACATACAACTGGCCATACGTAAATATTTCTTTCTGGAGTCAAATTTCAACTTTTTGAAGTGTTTGACCTTGTGATTTGTTTATAGTTCTTGCAAACGCAGGGCGAACTGGAAACTGGATTCCTGTATATATAAAAACTTAAAAATATATGCTAAAAACAATATTGCATTTTTATTAGATAAGTATTTTTTATTTTAATCATCAAATTGTTTTTAAAATAGTAGGAGTATTTTGTATATTAAATAATAAATTTGATTTTGATTGGTCAATGTATGGCTATTTTAGAGAGTGTGATGGACAGACAGACTAACAAAAGTCACAGAATTTTATATATAGATTTTTTATATTTTTTATTTATATTTATTTTCACATTTAATATATTTATTACATATCAAAAATATTCAAAGTTCATAATATTTATTAAAGATCAACTCAGAGTTTTATGATGCTTTGCTCTACAGAATCCAGATCTTCTTATCATATTGTGAATTTTATATTTTTTTATATCATTTGTATTATTTGATACCTCTTGAGCACTTTATTGGCAAAAATTCTGTTCGCCTAAATTATATAATTTTATGTATTTTTTTTTTATCTTTTCACCCCTAGCAAGGTGATAAAGCCACAAAGACACAAGGGCTTACAAAGCATAAAATAGAGTGAACAAAACTATTTGCCAATCTAATATTACACTTAAATTCGTGAAGTAAAGGTACCAAAGAGCAAAGCTCATCAAAACAACACCCATGAAAGTATTTTTGAAAAGGCATAGGAAAGCTATGTTACTGTGGTTGGAAAGTGATTGTCTGGCCAGGACCTATATCATTGCAGAAGCAGCAGACTAAATGTAACAGCAATATTTGATGGTGGGAAAAGTGACGGAAGCCTACATGCCAGGTCAAGACCAATAACATTGCAAATTCTTTGTATTTTGTCAAGAGTCTCTAAATACATAGAAGCACCAGACCAAATGTAACAACAATATTTAAAGGTAGGAAAAGTGATGAAAATTTAGATGCCAGGTAAGGACTGATAACATTGCAAATTCTTTGTATTTTGTCAAGAATCTCTAAATACATAGCAGAAGCACCAGACCAAATGTAACAGCAATATTTAAAGGTAGGAAAAGTGATGGAAATCTAGATGCCAGGTCAGGACTGATAACATTGCAAATTCTTCTTTTTATTTTATCACGAGTCTCTAAATACATAACAGAAGCACCAGAC